ATTTACGATATTTGAGAGTAAACGAGAATTTCTTTTGTTTTGTTATCCAAGAAAGAAATAACAAAAATCAGCGAAAGTTTAAAAAGGAATTTTTATTACATGGAAGAATCAGCAGATGAAACTGTAATAGGAGACTTTACATAATCATAACTCAAACGATTACAAAGTCACAGCGAACACCAACCGTCGATGGTCGACCACATGTCGTGTGCTTAACAGCAAATAAATTTTTAAGTTGCGCAAATTCCAAATAAAATTAAATTAAACGACAGTTTACTATAGACAAGTTAACATAACTAATAAATTTGGATTTGCAAGACACCAAACATGACAACAAATCGAAAGATTTAAAAGGAAATTTTCATATTTCACTCAGATTAAGCTAAGTCGAGAAGTGATCAAACAAATTTAATTTTTAGTATTTATGTTGGTGAGAAAACTAATGAATTAACATCAATTTAGCTTTTGTGATCATTAAGATGTTTTGGATATAAAAATGAAGATAACATAAACGGCTTCTTCATAGTGTTGCTGCTGTTTATGCTGTCCAATGTCATTAAAAGAAAACAGACGACATTAAAATTAACATTTTCGAATGATTAATTGTTGAATGTTTGACTTTAAATTACATTCCATTAAGTGCTTTCTCTAAACTGTGTATGCGATTCTTGTTTGGGGGGATTCAATCGAGGTGGAAAAAGTTTCTTTCGTTGCGTATCAAATGTTTGACCGGGAGTTGCCTCATGAATTAAAGAATAAATAATGGCTTTGGTTGAACATCGAAATACGAAGAAGAAGATGCTGAAAGGTCCAACAATTAACTTCTTCTTCTGATTGCGTCGGCACTTTGGACTAAATTTTTATTTTGGTCATAAAATTTTCCTTCCTCGAATCGTTTTATTGATTTTATTTTTTATCAGAAACTTCCAACGTGCGTTTTGCAATTTATGTACGTAAAGAAATATTAAATTGGAACATTTTTTATTAAATTGACACAAAGGGGGGCGACGAGAGGGCACTGACAAACATAAAAACAACATTTCACAAATCACTTACTTGATTTGAAGTTTTTTTGTCGTTTTTTGTTTAATATTTTTCAATTGATGATAATATCAGTGATAACAACATGAGTCGCTTCTATTTACATTTCTATAGACTTAATTCACTTGAGTGACATGGTATTGAATGAGACATTTTTCGGCTATTCGTTGATCATCATAATTGTTGTTAACATTTCCACTGATCCGGGTCCCCAAATATTATTTTTTTGTTGTTTGATTTCTTCTTTACTTCCATTAATCTTACGACAAATCGAATGAGATTTTTTCTTGTGTAGTTTTTTGAAATTATTTCAATGATTTCATTCCATTGTCGACATTTCTTTATTTATAATCACTTAATTGTTGTTTTATCTCCCAGGTGGATAATTTTTAATATCTTTACAAATATTTCTTTACTACTTTTTTTTCGCACTCTCATTAAATCTTTTTGAGATTTTTTTTATTTTTATTTGTTTCTGTTTTCGTTTCGATTTTTGCATTCGCGTTTTTTTTATTTTGTTCACATTTAAACGAATGTCAAGAGTGTCAACGATTTCATGTGTTCGTCTAAATAAGCACGATCAGTGACTGAAGCCTCAGGTTGAGAAACTTGCGCTCTTTAAAACTTCTCTTCCACTCAACAACTGCGCACACATATGTAAGATTTGTTCTTTTTGTTGTCATTACTGCTCAAAAATGAGCACGAGAGAAGTCTTGAGAGAAGTCAAGAAAGAAGTTTTTTGAGCAGAAATCTTTGAGAATTCATTGAAGCGAAGAAGAATTCGATTCAAGGATTTGTTGGGTATTCACTGACATTCCTTAACAATTTTCCTTTTCGGAAAATCTTTCAGATAATGAAGATAAATTGTCAAAGAATTTTCTTCATTTCTCATTGGTGTGAAGGCATGTTCGTGAATTAATTAAATAAAGTGTTGGGATAAAATCCTAAAAGTGCTTGAATATAAACCTTTTTTTCCTCGACAATTTAATGTTTTATATTTTATCTAAAAGGATCACTTTACACAGCAGTTGCGCTGACAAAGAAACTTTAAACAAAAGAGAGAACAGTAATTTGTAATAAAACTGGGTAGCATATTGTACACTTCCACTTGTTTAAAGACTCAACAAGGGAATAGACAACATAAAAGGGATGAAAAATGCTTTATGGCTTCACAATAAATCATAAAACATCATGTCGGGAAGATGAAAAGGAATCATGAACTTCAATGCTGGCTAGTTCATTATTCCATTGTAGTCTGAACTGCAACGTCTCATGCCTCTGGGAAATATTTTTCCATTAAATGCTTGTTTGATCTTATAATTGAACTTTGCCATCACATGAGTGAATTATGAGATTTACATTGTTTGAATACAGTCATAAAGAGTATGAACGTACGACATAGAAAAATCAAAATCTACTTTTATTCACTACATCAAAGAGAATCAGTTCGCTGCTTCTCTCGCTTATTTAAATGTTGAGATAGAAATGTTTGATTTATCGCATTTAGCCGACAGAAAAATAATTGAATTTAAGTGATAGGAAGTTCGCAAATCGCACAGTCACAAAGATTAATGTTTCCAATTAAATATGTGAAGTGTCTGTAAGTGGAAAGACTTTCATTTTACTTACAGCAATTACAGTGATAGTTTAATGCACAATATAAAATGCTTGAATATAACTCAAGTCTGCGGCCTCATTATGGCTTCCTTCACAATGAAAAAAGTTGTCAAACATTTTCGCGGCTATTATCAATCTCATAATTCTTTACATGTACACACAACATAGCAGTTTGCCTTCTAATTTGCTAATCAAACTGCTAAGTTAAAGAAAGGCGTGTTGTATTGAACCTTCGATAATAATTTATCGCCTTTTTGTCATTTTAAAATAAAAATTGCAATAAAATTTTTCATTTCATCATAATTCATGTTAAATGACATAAAAGTGTTGCGCAATGTTCAATTTAACTATTTGACAATTTACATATTGTAGGGATAAGAAGTTAAAACGAATGAATGGAAAATGCGCTTCTAAGCAACACAATGGAAATTGCGCAGATATTTTAAATTTTCCTATTCAAATGCCTTATTGCGTTGTTTATATTTTCATCTCACATATTTATGCTTGAAACATTAATTAAAGAACATCATAAAATTATCTTCGATTCTCACATTCATAACTTGAACGAATTTTGTTGAAATTTGCAGGCATATCTTATCGATGAAGCAATAAAAAGTTTACTTCTCACTTTAAAGAGGATTAAGTCATTAATTAGCTTAACACAAAAATATTTCTTTTAAAAAATTCCACAACATCAGTTGCTTTATTGACGACACTCGTTCATCCAGCTGTTATTTTAACGATAAACTTGCATGACTTTTCAGCACTTACCGAGTTTTTTTTATGTACAAACTAAATAACTTCAACTTAAACAAAACTTATTAATTGTCTTTCAAAGTAACTCACGAAAATATTTGCGGTTTCTACAGTGCAATTGAATGGAATTTCACGACGATATGTTTACTTACTAGTGTCGCACTTGTTATTAGTCTTTCTAGCGAAAAGCATGTGATTTGTTGAGGCACACTTTTAAGTTTAATTTTATTATCTTTGCTATCAAAGTTGAGTTTAAGAAGATAAGATTAAGAAAGAATGTCCACAACGAACTTTACATTGACTCGACTTTCAGATCACACATGCAAGGTTCGAGTCTTAATCAAGCTTCAATCAGCTTCGAGCTTTATTTCAGCTCCACTTGGAGAATGAATTTGTGTGTTAATCATGTTACAACAATCAGTAATGTAATAAATAAATTGTAGCTCGCTACCTCAGGCTAATCACGATCGACGGCTTATTTTATTCCAATAAATTCTGTCCGAATGCATATTTTATTGATTAAATATTATAAAATTTAAAGGGATTTGTTTATTTGACAGTTGTTTCTGAATCAATTTTAAAGTCACGAAGAATGAAGGAAGAGAGAAAGAAAGTCTGAAGAAATTTACCTGAACTTCTTCGGTTGTTTGTTGTTGTGAGGGTTTACAAAGCAATCAATATTCCAATCAGTTAAGATTATCATTTGGAAAGGTTGCTTGACCAAATAAATAGATTTGAGTAGAAAAGAGGATAAAGAAATGCAAAAGCTTGTCAGACTTACTTACAATCACTTTTTAAGACTAAAGCAAACAACTAAAATCTTGTTTACTCGAATGTGCATTGTAATAATAAATGACCAACATCATCATTACACAATAAGCAAAGAGAATTCAAACTGAGAAAGGTTCTCAGGTAAATAAATGACGACGACAACAATACCAACACTCGGCTGTGTTTAATCGACGGGAAGTCGCAAACAACTTGTTCAGGCAAAACATAAAAAACTTTAACTAATGATGACATGAAAACTTATTACAAGACATTTGATAATTTTAACGAACTCGGACTCGAAGCTGCTGCTGATGCTGATGATGTTTAACTAAGCAGATGAACGGGATTATGCAAATGATAATGTCTTTGCTTTTTATCTTTATCTTTACCCCAAAAAAGCATTTTTATGGTTGTCAAGATTAAATTTAACGTGAAATATGTTTTTCTAATCAAAAATCAACTTTTTTTTGCCTTAATTTCTGCGACTAAATAATTTTGCCTTGTGATGTCAATGAATAAATTTTCATGTCATTTCTTGTGATATGTGAAAAAATTTAATTAATTCATTGATTGATTTTTTTTACAACTTAAGTAAATTCATAAATAATTTTTAATCATCCCACGACTCATCATCAAAAGTTCCTTTTTAAAAAGAATATTTTACATAAAGAGATTGGAAGAGTTTTTATTTGCAAAGAACTTTTCTTAATCTTCCTGTTTCATTTGAATCGTAATGGGAATTTTATTTCTTTTATTCCACTGTTCATTAATTAAAAGGAATTGCAGCTGGTAGAAATGAATAATTAATTAATAAAACAAACAACAATCAATATTTTTTTAATACTCAATGAAAAGACTTTCACATTTATTTTTAATTTCTTCGTTTAAATAATTGGACAATAAAAATGTGAAATTTCTAAAAATTGTTAGTGTTCGATATCTTAAAATTGAATGCGATATTTGTTCTCACTCCCAGATCCACTGTTGCTTTGTCCACTACTCGTTCTTTGATGATGTTGTGCCATGTCAGTGTTTTGTGAATGTGCTTGATGATACAAAACACTTGAACTTGGCAAGTTGAGTTTAGTTGGTGAATTGTTGTTGCTGCTACTCAGGAAGTTTATCTTCTTTCCTGGTTTCGGAGGATTCAAATTCAAGTTTTTTGGAGGTGTTCGTGTTCTTGAGCGTGCAAGTGCTTTGTATGAAACCTCTGGAATTTTAGAGCTTGAACGTGAATTTGAACTGCTTGAAACGGAACCTTCGCGTGCTTTCTGTTGTTGTTGTTGTGTTTGTGGACATGGCGAAGGTCTTAAGAGAGCGAGTTTCCTTCCCTCAATCTGTTTCATTGCATCATTTGATGGAGGTGATTCAGGAAGGCGCTGATAATTCTTACTCAATAAGTAATCTGGTTTATTAGAATAATAAATTTTCGTTATGTTACTTGTTGGGTCGTTCTTTATGGTTCCATAATTCTTTGTGTTCGTTTTGCTAGGACTTAAAGCCTTTTGAATTTCTGCTTTGAAGTCGGCATAATTTTTCATGCCTGGAGATGAAACTGGCGATTGATGTCGCTTTAAACTGCCAGTTTGTGTCACGCCATATTCCATTTTACTGTTGTTTGGTTTGTTCGGATAAGTTTCAGTTAAACGTCCGTATTCAATTTTTCGTGGTTGTTTTAATGTTCGTGGTGGACGTGGTAAAGCTGATGGTGGGGCTGATGACTGTCTGCTTTTCAAATTGGGCAAAAGAATGCTTGATAGCTGATAGTGGAAAGATAAATTAATAAATTAATTAATCAAATTATATTGGAGGGAACAAACCTTTGATGTGTGCCCAATGTTAGATATGTCAGTCATGTTTTGGCCAAATGTTGATGAAACTTGTGCTAAGTTGCTTCTTAGATTCTGTGATGAAAGACCTTGCTTCTCTAAAAGCATGATGTCTTCATTCTTACTCGCATTAACTGGCGTACTCTCATGCTGCATTCTTAATTGTGTTAAATTCTGAAGAAAATTTTCACTGCTGTTACTTGTGAGTGTTGCCATCTCTTCTGGTAAAATCGTTTTCTTGCCTAAGAGATTGCTGGGAAAACAGCAAATCTTTGAAATAAAGAGTTGAATTAGGTAGATGTGAATTAATTTTCAATTTGAATGAAAATATTAAAAATTGAGGAATTAATTACCTTTCAGATTAATAATCTCTACTACAATTAAATGGCTTGTTAGGACATTGATTTCATTTAAAATATTTACCTGCTTTCGAATCACGAAACAAATTTTCGACTAAAGTTGATTTAAAAAATTAATCCTCGGGATTAAAACATCACATGAAGGTCAAGCGATAATTTGTGTAAAAAATTTCCTCGATTTTCTCCAAATAAAATTATAGAAAAACCAAATAATTTAAAACTTACAATGTTGCAACTATTTGCTTTGTTAGTTCCTTTCACCGAGAGTTAATCTAAATCCTAATCCAATAAAACTTAATCCTGAACACTTGGATTAAAGCAAGATTAAGTTAACAAATCCTACTTACGTTAATCTGAAGATTAGCTCGATTTTAATCCTCTTTCTTCATGATGAAACTTTCAGATAAATTATCAAAGTTTGGTTTTTTTGTATTAATTTTTATTACTCTTTCAGCTCTATTTAACACTCATAAGGCATAAGGCATTAATTAAAATCGATAAATAAAAATAAAATCTTGTTAGTTTGCTTTTATGTATTAAAGATTCGCATTTGGTTTCAAAATAAAATAATTTTGTGTTTTTAATTCAAGGAACTTTTACTTTTATCGACAGTTACAGCAGAGAAAAGACAAAATAAAACTTGGCAAATAATAACAGAAAATAAAAAGTTCATTCAAGCAAGGCAATTTATTTTATGACATTTTTTGTAATCTTTCTCTTCTTCTTCTCATTTGCAATATCAAATAAATGCGAAATATTTATCAGCCACTTTCTAGCGATTTCAGTCTTTTTTATTAGTCATTAATAAATTTAATAAACGAATATTTAATAAAATATTTCCTGCTCATCTTGATCGGCGTTGTAAGGTCCCGTTAACGATTGCATCGACGATGAAAGTGCACTTTGAACTGAAGGATTGTTAGTAAAATCAGAACACTTGTTAATGTTGGCACGATTCATGCTTGCACCGGAATTGGAATTGGTATACAAGCTTAATGAGCTGGCGCGTGAACTATGAAACAATGCAGCATTTTTGTTTTTAAGATTTCTATTTTGCTGCTGTTGTAGTTGAATATGATGTTGTTGAATAAACGTTAATTCACTAACCTATCAAAACAAAAAAAAAGCACAAAATGGGATGAAAATTCAAATATCAAAAACTTATTAAAGGGCAACAAGAAAGGAAATTCCAAGGGAAATTCAATCAGGAGAACTCAAAAAACAAAACTTTATCTGACTAAGTAAGAAATAAAAGTTAATTCCACTAGAAAAACTTACCTTAGTTAAAAGTTGATTGTCCAATTTTTTCAATTGATCGTCAATCGATTTTCGTTGTTCATCCAACGATTCATCATATTTTAAAATATTTGAAGCATTTGATGAAGTTAATTGATGTTGATGTTGTTGCTGCTGCTGTTGAATGGTCGACGATGAAGAACACGAAGGACTTGGAGAAATTCCACTTAAATTCGGTGCAATTGTTGGTAATTTTTGATTAAAGTTCGGTTGATAAAGTCCTTTGTAACCATTTGCAAGTAAAACATCGAAAGATGAACTCGACGTGCCTGATGTTTTAGAGCTGCTTGGTGATGGCATTAAATTGTCATATTTCGATGCATTATAGATTAAAGGCGTCGTTGCTGTTGAAGATACAATCGATGATGACGACGGCGTGTTGTAACAATCATTGCAATTCAAAAGTCCATAAGAATTGCCAACATTGTACACTGAAAATTTTGATAATTAACTTTAATTAATAAATTTAAATCTCATCAACTTACACTTCTGTTCCTGCAACTGCTTTAGAATATCTTCTTGTTCCTTTTCAGCTAATCGATTCTCAACAAGCTTCAATCTTGTTTGAAGTTCATTCACTTTTTGTTGTGCTGAATGAGCTTCTGAAATGATTTGCTCATTGTCGTGATTCTGTTGTTGTAAGTTGAGATGTCGAGAATCGTCGCTTGCATTCGTCACTTGTTCACTTTCCGTTCTCATCTTTTGATTTTCATTTCCACGATATTGCCATTTCATGTTTCCACTTTCATTATCGGGATTTCGTTCTAAGCCACTTTCCAACTCAAGTCTTAACTTTTCACGACGTTCATTTGCAACGAGAAGTGTTTGAAGCTGCTTTTGATAAAGTTGCTTTTGTCGAACTTCTTCTTCCAACCGCTTCAAAGCTGAATCAAGAACATTGATGTGAATTCTTTGCTCTTCAAGTGTCGCGCCTTGTGCTTGAATCTCCAAATATTGTCGCTTGTTAGCATCGACTAATTCTTTATTCTGTTGAATTAATTGAGTTAACAGAAGATCTTGTTGGGTTCGTCCCGTGTTTGACAATTGCTGTTGTTGTTGCAATGTCAACACTGAAAGTTGTTGCTGCAGAACTTCAATCTGTTCTCTTAAACCTCGATTAAGTTCTTGAAATCGACGACAATCACTTTGCAATCGTGTTCGTGCTGTTCGTTCGAGTCTCTCGCGTCTGTCACATGATTGCGCTAACTCTTCATAAACTTTGTAAACATTTGAAACTTCTTGTTCGAGTTTCTGTGACTTTGCAACTTTCATTAAACATTCGTTGAGTTGTTCTCTAAGTTTCGTGTTTTCAACTTCCAATTGCTCTAAATCATTGAAATTTAATGTGTTGTTGTTGACTGAACTTGGACTGACATCTTTACTGACATCATTTGCCCTTCCAAGCTTCGTCAGATCAGGTTGAGATTTACTTTTATTCCTTCCACCTGACAAATTATTCGACCAATTTGGATCATTATTTGATGATGAATTGTTGTTATCAGAAGCTGCTGAATTTCTCGTCGATTCCATCATCATTTGATTATTATCATGATGAAGTTTCACTTCTTTTGCCAAATGTTTCAACACATAACTTTGATTCAAATATGTGAGTTCATTTTCAGTGATTGGCGTCATTAAAGTTCCATCATTTCCATGTAAATGTCCACCAGTGTAGTTTACAAATGTTTTCGATGATGTTGCTTTGTCTTTCTTTGCACTATAATTTGGTGGTGATGGCGATGAGCTGATGAAGTAAAGTTCGTTCTTAATTAAACTTCCTGGAATTGTCGCGTTTGTCGCAAAAGGCGATTGTGTTTCATTATTATCGTGGATGATTAAAGTGTTGTAAGATGACTGGGAAATATCTAAGGAAGAACGATTTGAATGCGGATGATCAATCGAATTTCTGTTTGAGTGTTGTTGCAAATAAAGTGAATTTCTTTGACTTCCGCTGTTATCCTGATGACTTCGATTATCAGCTGAGATACTTCGATTGCTCGAAGTACTGCTGAAGCGATGTTGTTGATTTTGAGGCACTAAAATATTAAAATTTAATTAAAACTTTTAAATTAACAATTTATAATCAACTTACTGTCACTCGAATAACTTGAAACACGCATGTTAACGGGAGGCGTTGTTGAAGCTTTCTCATAAATGTTTAAAGCTTTAAATAATTTAAAATGATTAAAATTTGATTTCTTTTCTTATAAATTCTTCTCACCTGATGTGTCATTAACTGGCGTAACATTTCCCGAATAATTTTCTTGGCCTTGTGGCTCAGCTCGCGGTTGAAGTAAAACATAACGTTCTTCTCTTGATAGTTTAGAATTAATCTCATCGTCAAATAAATCTAAATCAGTGACATCAGTATCTGAAGAAACTTTATTTTCATTTGCATTTGACTTTGATTTACGTTCGGCAACTTTCGTTTGAGGCATTGCAACATTTTTCTGATTTATGATTTGCTTTTGTTGTGTTTGCATCGGAATATTCTTACTTCCAGATCCTGCTCCAAATGGTGAAAATCTCATTCCATGGGGATGTGACGACATTTCCAATATTTACAAAATATTTTTTAAGGCACAATTGAAGTTTTAAATCTAAAAATATTCAACACACTTAATATTTTGCGTTTAAATGGAATTAAAATTTAGATTGAGCAACGCAACAATTTACAATGTTCTCTAATTTACAATTGAGAACAAATGACACATTAATTTTCTACATCTGATCTTGCAATACAATTGTTTTTAAAATGATGGAATGTGGTTTTTTTTCTTCTTAGCGTTAATAATGTTGGTGAATGATCCCGGAATGTGCTACCAACACATGCACATAATCAAATAAATTCTATGCAATTCAACTTTTTAACTATTCACGACGTTATTTCCTTATTCTTAGATGTGAATAAGTTGAGAGGAATATTTTTTTCCACGAATAAATTATTCCGCGACCAGATTATTGCTTGAAAATTATTCCATACCAGAAAATTGCGTGACGATTTTGAAATTTTAACCGTTAAAAATATCATGGTAAGTTTTTAATTTTATGATATTAAAATTAAATTCATCATGATATAATGATTAAGATAACAAATTATGATGCTATATACAATATATTTTTACTTCTTATCCCTGTTATTTAATAAAATTTAACTCACAAAATATTTTTCTACGCATTTACATTTTTAACGGTTTAAATTTTAAAAATTATATCATGCAATTTTCTGCCAAGCAATAACATAGGACTGGAATTTTTTTTCACGCAATTCTTTCAGATGGAAAATAATATTCTTCTCGAATAAGTTTCATNCTACCAACACATGCACATAATCAAATAAATTCTATGCAATTCAACTTTTTAACTATTCACGACGTTATTTCCTTATTCTTAGATGTGAATAAGTTTCATATATTCCAAACTTTTTATAAATTTCAATTGATTTTCATATGTCTGGATAAAATAATCATAAAATTATGAATCAATCCAGGTTCAAGATTTTTCTCGGAATTTTCTTTCTTTGCACTTTATTTACTCAAGATAGCTTTATTTCTCATTGAACTTAATATTTTCCTTTTCAAACGATAAGGAAGAAGTACTTTAGATAGATTTTAAATGGTTTAAACACTTACAAGAACTTTAAATAGATTAAATTTTATTTTTAATATTACGAAATTAAGCAAAAAATAGAAAGATTTAAAAAATCTTTCAGTCTACAATGTTTCAATGATGTTGATCCCGGACAGTTTTTGTCCGGATGTTTTCTGGTATGCTTGCTAAAATGCAACCAACTTCGGACCATCAGTACCTAGATAGGGTAGTTGGCTAATTATCGACTACCTCGAAATCGCGTCCAATTATCGACCACTACTTTCGAACTTAATTTTCTCAGCTATTTTTTATTATTTATGGCTTAAAACTTTGTAGAAAGCTACTTTGGACTATGCTCTACCTCTCTACAAAGTTCTAAGCCATAAATAATAAAAAATAGCTAAGAAAATTAAGTTCGAAAGTAGTGGTCGATAATTGGACGCGATTTCGAGGTGGTCGATAATTAGCCAACCACCCTATATGATTTTAAATCTTCAGCATAAAAATTATTCAAAAACATGTTTTCATTCCTGCGTGGGTAAACCAACGGAGTTTTTTATTTATGACTCTCCAAATAAGTATGTTAAATGAATAGAAATTTTTATTAAAGGCGGTTATCAGAGTCAATATGACTTTTGAATCATGAAATCAATCCGAGAAATGAGACATTTATCATCCTTTTGTATCTGAAAATAAAACTCATTTTCGAATCTTTAATAAAAAAAATAATAACAATGTATCTAAAAAGAATCTTCTTTTTTATGAATTTATTAGGAAAAGAACCATTACAACAAACCCCATAAACTGATATGAAATAAAAAATGAACTTTCTTTGAAAGAAATAATAAAAACATATTTAAAAACTTCTGTTTACTGGAAATCAAAGAACCTACATACAACATGCGTGTAAAGCTTGCACGATCCCTTAACGCCTTTCCCATAAGATAAAAATTGATCAAAAGCTCTTAACTTTGTCTTTTATCTAAAAGCGATTTATAACTTCGCGTCTGTCTTAAGCAATGGGCCTAATTTTTGTGCCAGCATAATATTGCCCTGAATCTTCAATTTTCCTTTCATAAATGCTGTTTGTGGATTCAACTTGTTCAACGCAATGTCGACAAAGTCATCGTCACTGACTGTGAGTGTTGTGTCAGCCTTTCCTGATGGGGTTCCTTGTTTCACAACAGCATTTTTCAAATCCAAAGCTGTTGATAAAAATAAAAAAAATAAAATGAAATTCTTTTTTCCATAATGATTTTCCAGAACTCAAATTAAGCTGTGTTAGCTATTTGTGTCAGTTAACACATCAGTAAAATAAATTTACATTATAAGCAGACCTCATCAACCTTTGGACTTTGTCGTTTTATGATTTTTAAATTTCATAGTTTTTTACTTACTCCACTCTTTGACAACTTTGCCATCCTTTGTGATTTTGTACAAGAAAACTCCATTAACTGCTTTAGCTTTAGCCGGGTCGGCTTTGACTTTGTCTTCAATAGCTGTAAAGATTGCGTCCGAATTTAATGATGCCATGTTTGAGGTTGATTCTGGAATGGATTGAGCAGGTTTCGTTGATTTCACTACGTTGAATAAGTCCACATAGGCTCCTGATAACGATAAGATTTTTTATTTAAGTCTGATTATTGTAGTCAGGTAAAAAGGTTTAAAGAGAGAAAAAAATCAATTTTTTATAAGAATAAAGTCTAATTTTGAGAGTGTGTGGGTGTTACTTCAACTGAACCGACCATCGGCGATAATTATTTTGAAATTCAATATTCCGTTAAAATTTTTACCTGATAAAACTTCAGCATTTGTAGCAGAAATCAAAGTTCTGAAGTGAATTCTGTTTCCTTCTTGCCACATTTCAACTTTTAATGTATCACCTGGATAAACTGGTTTTGTAAAACGAACTTTGACAGCTTTGAAAAGTGTTGGATCATTGTTAGCGTATTGTTTGATAATTGCACGAACCGAAATACCAAAAGTGCAAAGCCCATGAATGATTGGCTTGCTGTAAAGAATTTCTCATCAAAAATATTAAATGTCATCTCACAGTTGTGAATGTTTACCTAAATCCACCCAATTTAGCAAAATTTGGATCAATGTGTAAAGGATTAAAATCTCCTGACAATCGATACAAAGCTGCTTGATCAGTCGTCGTCTTGCACAAAGCAGTGAAATCAGGTGAACGATTTGGTGGTGGAATTGTTGGAATAACTTGATCATTTGCCTTTGATTTACCGCCAAAATTACCAGCTCCAACAACAAATGTGCTGCTTTGATTGCGAATGATTTGCTGTCCGCTGCTGTCGAAACTGTCAAGACCAGTGACGATAAGTGCACCAGATTTCTTGTCCATCACATCAACAATTCTTCCACGGGTTATCAGCTTGCCATCAGTTGTAAGAGGTTGAAGTAATTCAACATATTGTTCTCCATGTAACACCTACGCACACACCCACACATAATTGATAGCGTTATCAAATTTTCTTATTATTTTCATTTTGTTTCTTACCTGTGAAAGATCAAAGGTCTTTTCCAAAGCACTTTGTGCAAGTCCCGAAGTCATTGAAAGAATGATTCCAGGAATAACAGAGAATGTTGGGAATGTAGCGAAGTCAGGATGATTTTCATACAAAAACTTCAAATTGTCTTGATCCTCTGTAGAAATTCCAATGCCCAATGCATAAAGAATCACATCTCTTGATGAGAAATTGAAATCATCTTCAAATTGTGATTTTGGTGAAGGGTTTTTCAATTTTTCAATGATGTCGCCAAGATATGCGCTTGCTTCGGTATTTGAAGAGAAGTGACGTGCTTCACTCATATCATTGATAGCATCCCATTTGCTTCTGACAAACTCGGGAGTAACATCATCGTCAAGTGATGTTCTTAACAAACTTCCTTTGCCACGAATGAAGTGAATCTTTGTTGCCCATCCACAAGCACTTTCAATGATGTTTCCATTATCTTCAGTCTTTTCATGACAAAGATAAACAACAACTGGTGCAATCAAATGAGGTTTCAATTGATTAAAGAATTCGTCGGGAAGAATTCCTTGAGTTAATCTTGAAGCGGCTGTTGGAACGATTGTGTTGCAGTGAATGTTGTATTTAGCTCCTTCAATTGCGACAGTGTTTGATAAACCAATAGCACCAAGCTTAGCAGCTGAATAGTTGGCTTGTCCGAAGTTGCCATAAACACCGGAATTACTGCTGGTCATGATGATGCGGCCATATTTCTGTTTCTTGAAATAAGGCCAAGCAGCTCTCGTTGTAACAAAACTCGCTTTCAAATGAATGTCGAAGATCTTGTCCCAATCTTCATCACTGATATTAGCGACTGATTTATCTCGTAAGATGCCAGCATTATTCACCAACACATCGATACGACCAAAGTTAGAAATTGCTGTTTCGATGACTTTATGGCCTTCAACAACTGAATTGTAATCAGGAATTGCAACACCACCGGCATCAACAATTTCTTTTACGACAATATCAGCAGCTCTTGATTGACCTTCGCCCGTACGACTGCCACCAAGATCATTGACAACAACTTTAGCTCCACGAGATGCAAATAACAAGGCATATTCTCTGCCTAATCCCGCACCAGCACCCGTTACGACTACAACGCGATTATCAAATCTTAAAGCCATTTTTTCAGCAATTTACTGTAAATAAAACATAAGTACGATAATAATTATAAAATTTCTCTTATCAAAATTTTTTGTCGAATCGAAGAAAAAAACGAAAAGAAAAACTGAGATCAGAGTTCACAAAAACACTTTACATTTTTAAGTTTCACAATTCATCAAGCGAAGTGCTTTTGTTATCTAAGAATAATAATAAAATTCAAGATAATTCATTTTTATTTTGCTCAACATTACCTTTCGTCTTCTTTGCGAATAGTGAAGAAACTGAGGTAATTAACAATTGACGAAATTAAAAAAGTGAAAGATAACTTTCAAGTTTCAAAACACGCAACTACATAAACAATTACTTTCAGCGGTGCCGTTGTAAATATATGGAGAGACGTATCTTGAAGATTTGCCCTAACGACGGCAACGTTTCTTCATTCTTTTTCGTTCAACTTTCAAGGAATATACATCGATAAAGTAAGTTTAAATTAATTTATACTTTTAATGAGCATTAATTAATATTTTAACATTTAATACTTGTTCTCAAGATATCAAAGCATTAATTAAACACAAATATAATCTCAAAATTATAAAATACTTTTAAATATAGTTAAAAAAGCTTAGGCGAGGTTATGTGATTCACATGTATGATACTTGAGGGCATAAAAATTATTTAGAATGATGAAAACTTATAAAATTCTTTTGCGGTTTCCACGGAAAACGAGAAAATTAATACAATTTACTTGTTTTAAGATGGCTAAGAAGAGTCTGATTAATCTTAATTATAAAACTTTTTCGAATTTAATTTTTGGTAGTTTTATAAAAGTTTTTGTTACTTTTTCAGAATGGCGGACGCTGCTCCAGCCTCAAGAGGTGAATTTAAACAAGGATTCGGTGGTGCCGGTGGATCTCGTGGAAGAGGTCGTCGTGGTGGACGTGGACGCGGTCGTGGTGGCCGAGGACGTGGAGATAAAGAAGGAAATCAAAAGGAATGGGGTCCAGTCACCAAATTAGGTCGTTTAGTTCGTGACGGGAAAATCAACTCATTGGAGGACATTTACTTGTACTCACTTCCCATTAAAGAGTTCGAAATCATTGATTTCTTCTTGGGACGTGCATTGAAGGATGAAGTCCTGAAAATTATGCCAGTCCAGAAACAAACTCGTGCTGGTCAACGCACACGTTTCAAGGCTTTCGTCGCTATCGGTGATAGCAATGGGCACATTGGTTTGGGTGTTAAGTGCAGCAAGGAAGTTGCCACTGCCATTCGTGGTGCAATCATTCTTGCTAAACTTTCAGTCGTTCCAGTTCGTCGTGGTTATTGGGGTAACAAGATCGGTAAACCTCATACAGTCCCTTGCAAGGTGAGACATTCCTCTTTATTACAATTTAATTACTTTTTAAATGATGAAAACATTTTTAATTCTTTTGCGGTTTCCACGGAAGTTTGTCTTTGGACAAGCTGAAGACGGTTTAAAAGGAGTCTGAAGCAAATTTAAATTGTTTTCATTGAGCTTGTTAAACGATTGAAGAATTAATTAACTTTTGTTTCTCAGGTTACTGGAAAATGTGGATCAGTTTTAGTTAAACTTATCCCAGCTCCACGTGGTACTGGCATTGTCAGCGCTCCAGTTCCAAAGAAGCTTTTGCAAATGGCTGGTATTGAAGATTGCTACACGCAGTGTCGTGGATCAACCACAACTTTGGGTAACTTCGCCAAGGCCACTTATTCTGCCATCGCTCAAACTTATGCTTTCTTGACACCCGATTTGTGGAAAGAAATGCCTTTGACGAAGACACCTTACGAAACGTATGCCGACTTCCTGGTTAAGCCAACTACCAAATCTGTCGGAATTCGTAACATTGATTTAAGTTAATCAATGTCAATTGGAGAATTGAATAAACTTTTGATCACATTGTGAGCAAATAACAAGCAAAAATTTGAGTTTTTTCTTTTCTTAATTACAGAAATTTTCTTCATATTAAAAAAATTCTTTTTAAGTTTAAATCCATCTTGGATGTTTAACTTTATTAGTTGCTCTTAATCTTTCGACATTCTTTTTCCTATAACTCTACATTTTGATGGAAAATTAATTGTGGGAGGAATCGAGATAAAGAAAATAAATTGTTGTCAAGATTATGATCAGCTTACAAAGTACCAGTGACAATTAACTAAAGGTTTTGTAGGTGAAACTTCATTTGACTTGTTGTTGGTTTTGTGGAAATGAAAAATGTTTTAATTTTTACCCTTCTCGACAATTTTTTTTTAATATTTTTTTTTTCTTGGAACTTTGACGAAAAAAACTTTCTACAATATTCGCAAAGCGAGGAATTACTCCAAAGCAGCAGCACCAGAGATAATTTCAATCAATTCTCTGGTAATGACAGCTTGACGTGTTCTGTTGAATGTCAATGTGAGTTTGTCAATCATCTCGCCAGCGTTCTTTGAAGCGTTGTCCATAGCAGTCATTCTTGAAGATTGTTCAGAGCAAGCGCCTTCTTTCATCGTGTAGAACAACAATGAAGCCATTGAGAATTCCAAATAGCATTGAATAACGTCAGAATCCAAGGAATCGTAAACTGGAAGCTTAGCAGCACTTTCAACTGTCTTTAAGCTGAAGAGTGGGATGTCAGAAACGCCATACGACACCACCGACTTGAATTTGTTGTAAATAATTTTACCGTCGCTAAATTCATATCCGCAGTTCATGATTTCGTTGGCTAATTTAGCAGCATCCAAAAATTGTGGTGGCAATCGACCGACCTAAGAATTTTTAACATTTATTATGTAAAAATATAAAAAAATCAATATTTCTACTCACTTCACTTGCAACCAAAATGATGTTTTTGCCGTATAAACGTTGCAAAACTGCTCGACTTTTGTCTCCAACGCAGATAACTTTAATGTTAGGATCAGCTTGAAGATCACCACGAATGTTACGGGCAACACCAGTGTGACAAGCACCGCACAAACCTTTAAATGATTTGTTATTTAGAAACATTCTTTTAAAATCATTTTCAAGTTACCTCTGTCTGATGTGATGGCGATGTACAGTTTCTTCGATTCTGCTGGTGGTGCAACCTCAGCTTTCTCATAGAATTGTTTGCTGCCTTCACCATAAGGACGACACTGTTTTAATTCACGTTCAGCACGGCTGTATTTAGCAGCAGACACCATCTTCATTGATTGGGTGATCTTCTGGATGTTCTTAACAGACTTTAAGCGCATAGAAATCATTTTCAATGTTGCCATGCCACGCTGTTGCTGGTTAAGGGCCAGCATATTTCCAGCTGCTGGCAAAATTGAAGTTGCTGCTCGTTGCATCATGTTTGCCTGCAAAATAATAGCAACATTATTATCTTGAGATATAGAAGAAATTCAATTTTTTTTATTAAAAAATACTCCGACGATGCGTGCACTAACACATTGAAAATTGTTAGATCATCACCTTCTCGTCTCATGAACTTTCGGAATTAAAGATTTACCGTCAAGTAAGATTTAAAATCATTCATTCAACAATAATAAGTGGAATATTTTCACCAATCTTACGAAATCAAATATCAAAATGAAGAATTCTTAGACGATTGTTATGCAAAATAATTTTCTTTTCTTCGTGAAAAATTATTTGTAAATGATTTTTATAAATATTTTCGAGTGTTTCCTAAACTTTACACTCATTTCAATGTTTTTCTTATAGTTGTTGAAATATTTCATTTATTTGGAATTTATTTAATGCTTTTAATACCTGTTAATGAACCCAATAATTAAACCTATGATTTTCGGAAACTTTTGCAACTGACTTGCATACCCTTTCAAAAGGGTACATAAGAATTCATTTGAAATTGTAAAACACGTTAATTTATGGAAAAATTATTACATTTATTTGTGAATTTATCGAGATGAGATTATTACTTATGTTTACTTTCACATAACTTTATCAACTTTAGGTTGATGAATAATTTTTCCATAGCCTCCACGTCCTCCATCAAAATCTTGACGATATTCATCTCTGACTTGCCCGCCGGATTTTCCTCTTCCATATTGACGGCCTTCAATAAAGCCGGCATCCCAGTCAACTCGTACTATGCGATCATCTAATCTTGTTCCATTTATGTATCGCATTGCTGCTTCTGCATCTTGGCGAAGGTAATATTCCACAAAACAAAATCCGCAAGGAGTCTTCAAAACAAAATTACGTTGTTGCATTATTTTACATTTTCTAAAAATTCTTTTAATACTTTACCTTTTTAAATTTATCCAAACCCATTACAATCCTTCGTATGTCTCCACATCGTGAAAAAAGCTCGTAAATTTGTTCTTCTGTGGTATAAAATGCAAGATTTCCGATGTAGAGTGTTGCTGATTGTATTAGTAGTTTTTCCTGCTCATATCGTGTTCCTTTAAAGTGCTGGTCTCGATAAGAGCTTAATTCAACGGATGCTCCTTCACTTGACATGATTTGTCACTAGAATATCAGTGAATAGATAATGAAACGTTTGATGAATCAAAAGTAATTCTTTGTGAGGAAATAAACAAATCGAATCGGTATTGAATCGGTTATAAACCTGTGTTCAAACATTTTTCTGCCGTTATTTTTTCTTAAATCTTGATATTCTCACGTTCATGTATCGACTATGAACTTTTCGATTAAATATTCTAAGACTTAGCTACTTAGTAACTAATAACAATTTCGCAATTTTCTTATCAGTTACTCAGCTTATAAAAGTAAATTAAAAATTAGAACCTAATTAATAAAGGACGGTGATTTAAAAATAAAACTAAATTTATTTTTGCTGTAAATGAAAATATTATTTTTTATTCTTTTTTTTCATATCGCACCTTTACCTTTCGGAGCTCCTTTAATATTTTTTTTTCATCATCGTTATAATAGTTAATTCATTGGTGTATATATACATGTGAAAATAGTAAACATGATACCTATAAATTGAATATTTTCCTAAAATTTCATAGAATGTTAAATGTATGACAAACGGGCAGACTAAGAAGTCGCCATTGAGTGTCATCTAAAAATATATTTTTATGTTATAAGTTATGTCTGTATCGAAGATGAAAACTTTTAGTTTTCACTTATAAAATAAATAAAGAATTTCAATGAACGAAGAGTTTCTTAATGCTACTAACTTTTCCATTACAAATCGGGCAACTTCCTCTACTTTTCCATACTTTCAACGCACATTTGTAGCAACAGCATAAATGAATATTCTTTTTATGTTCAAAAGCGCCATTCTTCGGATTCACCATACAAAATCTACACAAGCCAAGTTGACTTTCATTAACATCTAATGATCCTTCTATAAGCGACTCAGAAGATGGCAATAATAATCCCGATGAAGACGACGGTGTCGGTTCCGCACGTTTTTTCATATTATTTTCACGACGCTCTTGAATAAATTCTTCAACTCGTGCTAAAATCAATTCAGTTGCTGTCTCGTCATCAGAGTCTTGTTGGACTTGTGTCGATGCTTGACTCAATTGAAATTCATTTTGTGAATCAAAGCTTCGTGTCGATCCTGAAGATGACGATCGAACCAAAAATCCATCTTCAGATTGTGAAAAAGGAAATTCTTGGCTTGATTCTTGACAAGAACTTAAACCAGAATCCTTCCATTCTAATGTGTTGGGTCGCTTATGTGACAATAATTCTTGTCGATAAACATTCTGAATTAACTTATTCTCTACTTTAAATTCTAAATTATCAACATTATTAACAAGACTAGGCGAACGCTTAGCCAAAGTTGTACTTGAATAGTTTGTGCAATCGACGACAGTTTGGTCTACTTTGGCAATTTCAACAGATGTAGACGGTGTAATGTTAGCTTTACGAACGACATCGCGATTAATATTAATATTAACATTATTTTTATTCACATGATCCTGATCTGAAGAAACAGTTTCATTATCATCTGAACTTGTATTATTATTACAACTTAACTCTCCCGCACTATTAGCATGTTTACTATTTTCACTGTTAAGCTTATCTTTCATATTATTCAATTGATTACCATTTTTCATTCCCAGACTTGATGTGTTTGTCGGCAGACACTCAGCACGAGGTGAAAGCGCAATTTTCTTCACGACTGGAATCTGCGAATCTGAATCACTCTCAACATCAGTTGTCGAATAGTTCTGACTCTGTTGAGTCATTTTACGTTTCAGACTGTGTTCTGCACGAGACTTTTGACGTCGAGGACGTGGTGGAAACAAACTTTTACGTACCTAAAATGTTTTTTATTTCATAAATGAAAGAGAAAGAAAGAACAAAAAGATTCTAGTTAGATTTTCTATTGTAATTCTTATAAGATATTTAATATGGATTTAAATGGATTTAATGACAAATCAGATCATATTCCAATGTAGCAAAGTTTGCGCATTTAATATGATCAATTTTTGATAAATGATGAGTCATAAATTACAGAGAAAAAATCAAATATTAACCTTTTACGTTTACGTAAGTTTTTCAATAAAAAGAATTTTGAAAAACTTCTTAAACTTCAGGGAGGTTCTTCCATATATGGTGGAATAATGTCTTCAGAAAGGATTTCTATGTTGGCAAAATCCGTAACAGCGAGTAATGTTGTGAAATTCACAGCAATTCTTTGTTTGATTAGAGTCTTAGGCGATATCAACAACTACGATTCTCAATCTTTTGTTTAACAACAATATTTGACATTTTTTGTTTTTTATTAAAAACGTTTTCGAAGACTTGTGACTAATAATCAATGACTAAGTACTCCAATCCCAACTGATCGAATGGAGAATAAAAATGTTTGTGTTAACAACGCGATTCCGAAAAGAATACCAAGAAGCAACAAGTTCTTCATAGTGATGTGTATGCTCCAACGAGAGAAACAAAAATCACGAAAACGAAACATATTCAGTTGTTGCTTTTACTCGTGTATTCGTGCTTTCGGTTCGGCATTTCCGTTTCTTCATCGCAACATTCTTCTTTACTCTTCAGATAGAAGTGTGTTGGATGGAATGATGCCACCAACACTTTCTTACATCTTTCTTTCCCGCTTATTATATTCGAAAAGAAGCAACTTATATTAAGCATTTTATCAGGCATTTTATAACAAGAAGATCCGAAAGGAAGCTTTTATGCTGAATTGATTAGTGTTAAGAGAATTTTTCAGCCATGTTGACGTGTATGAATAATCAAAGTCATGAATTAATTTTTCATGAATCTTAATTTCAACAATCAAGAAGAAGTTTAATTAAACAAATCAATTCAAAACTTGAATAATGAAGAGAAATTTCAAATTTAGCTGTCGCAAGCAACACAATCGGAACAAAATTGAAAACAAACTTTTTTGCTTGTAATGACGTCACGAGAGTTCAAGCAATCGTTTTGAAACACGTTCAGACATGTTTCAAATATTTCTTTTTTATACTTATTGCGCAAAGATAATTTTGAATTTATTTTGTATTTATTTATGGAGGGTCAAAAGAGAAAGATATTAAAGTTAATAATATTTTTTGTACTGACCTGATAGCATCTCTCGCAATACCGATAAAGCGGCGTGTTCTGTCTGTTGTTGCACTTCACACACTTCCAGTAATCAGCTGGCCCCAGCTCAAGGTCGATTGAACCTTCGGAATCTTCTTCGGTGTCTGCGAAAATAAACTCATCGTCATTTTCGTCAGTCATTGGTTCGTTTATCAACTCCTTAAACTGGAAACACGCTGCCGTAGCCGCCTTAAGTACAAAGTCCTAAACGAAGAAATCCCGAATTAATTGCGAAGTTTTTTTACGAAACATTGAAAGAATGGTTTTCTTACATCGGAGCCACTTGATGCACTTGACACATCGTCACTCTCACTATCGTCCGGCAGTTCGTACTCTATCACATCCATAACAGCAAATCCCTCGGTGTGCGACGAGTTCGCATCGGAGAAGTCGTCATCGCTGCTGTCTTTACAAATGTCTGTGAACGAAAATACAAAAAAAAGACGAAATTTTTAGGATTTCCCGTTTAGAAATATTTGAGATTCCTAACATTATATCTAAACACTCATACATAGAAAAAAGGATCGTTAAAGATGTTGAATAAGAACTCGTGCCATGTCATACAAAAGGATGAAGATTATTTTACAATATTTATTTTTATTCCCCCAACGATGACGAATATTTACTTCAGACTTAATTAGCATGATTAAGAAGAAGTTCAAGTGAAGTAAACTTCCAACGAACTTTTTTTATTTCGTTTCACGTTCGAACAAGATTTTATTTTGTTTATGGAACGGAGGGAAAATTCCATTATAAATGCACTTTTGTTTCACATGTCTACTGGAAATTTTCCATGAAGATGTCAATATAAATAATGATTGGGATTTACTTACCGGTTTCGTAATTATGAAAAGAGTCGTATGAACTTTCATCTGGTAAAAGATCATAACTCTTTCGAAGTGGACTCTCAGGCGCTAATTTAACAAAATATGAAATTGTCGATTGACAATTTGATGGTTCCCCGACATGATTATTCCATTTTCCATTCTGCTTTTGGTGTTGTTTCTGACGGTCTAAAAATTCACGATGGGAGTGATAGAGATGGAATTATAAAAAAATTTTCACGATCAAATTTCACGTCTACAAATTCACTTTCAGCTTTCAAAATATATTATTTTCGTACCTGGTGCACTGCTTAAGCTCATTACTGCTTTTATATTATTTTTAACTCCGCGTAATGCGCTTATTTGAATAAAATAAAATTGTAGTGTACAGCTGAACGAACATCCACAATGTACAAAGTCTCAAACCCCACATTTCACCACTTCATTGTGTCTTGGCTAAGACAACCTTACTTTCTACCCTGTCAGTTAAATTTTCCACTTTGTTCCATTTAATCTTCTGCGACTAATCTCAAAGTTAAGATTAAAGTCATGTTAATTAAATAAACTCATCATAATTTACTATCTTATTGTAATTAAAACACATTAACAAGAAATTATGTTAGATTTATAATCGAATTTTATTTATTAAAATAATCAAATTCCTTGTGCGTTGTTAACAATTTAACGGTTTCTCCGGTTGTAAACTTCAAACAAATGACCCTGATGAGAAACATGAAACAAGGGTGACGTAAATTCTGAAAAGAATAAATATCGTGAAAAAGAAAAATACACAATAAAATATTTTAAACAATTTTACTGGTTAATCATTTAATTTCATACATTCTAACGATTAAAAAAGTGACAGATCAAAGAACTACATGACAAACCATTAAAATACTTCTCTAAATAGTTCCCAAAATAACTGCAGTGATTTTTTTATTTGTTATTTTACTGTTTCAATGATGAACCATTCGGAAAAAAACAAATGTGATTGATAAATTTAAAATGAAAGCCAACGAAAGCTACAATAATAAGAAAGATGGAAAGAATGATACTAAGAAAACTTCTGAATTACCCTCACGAGTAGCACAATGGTAAACAATGATTCATTAAAAATGCTACAGTTGCCGATGATCATTAAACTTTTATTTATTCATACAATTTCTCTTATTTCTCTTATAAAAATAGGTATTATCGACATGGATTATTTCTTACTTCGTATCCAACATGTGCTACAAGTCTGGCAATTTTAGTAATTTTATTTTGTTGGTGAGTCATAAAAATTGATCTGTTTCGGAGCAGTGACGCAATTTTTTGATCAAAATTCATTGCAGCTACCCACTCCTCAATTTTTCGCCTCTCCCTGGAAAAATTCCATCAAAAGTCGTCTTGCCTTACTATGCACATCATTTCGTAACGACGTCAAACAACACCAAGGAAACGTTTCATGTTGATAAGGAAATTAATAACGAACAAAACATTCACGACGAAGGAGAACGTGTTTCACATCTAAAGTCGCATATAAATATTGACACGGATCAACTGCATCTCAATAACTTCTCATCATCATCATTTCTTCCAATTCCATCGTTGCCATGGGCACGAGCAGAGCCACCATTCGTTTATGTCCAGCAGATTATTCTAAGGAGTGCCGTCTTACCATGGAGCAAAGATTTAACACTCACCGATGCATTTCGTGGTCCTCTTTTTGAAGTCTTCAAACTACTGGAAATCATCAACAATCATGAAACAAACGTGACCTTGAGTAATCTTTGCTTACATGTTGAGAATGTCAAACGATCTCACAAAGATCCTTTGTTTCCCGAATATAACTGTTTGGTGTTATCGCCAGCGAATTTCTGGAGACAAAACATTCACAATTTCAATAAAGATAACAGTTTACTTAGTACAATCTATCAGCACCACGTAAGTATTTAATTAAATTGCTTTCACTCATTCATTAATTTTTTTTTCTTATTTTTAGAATAATCAAAAATCGAAAGTTTCAACTTCGGAAATGTTGTTTGGTGTTCCAATGCTTGCATCTGGAATTAAACGTTATCCGCTACAAAATCGTCCTCGAATTATTCAATATGCAATAACTTTGTTTATGCGTGAAAATAATCAAGATTTCATCGCAACATTACAACAGAAGCTTCACAAGATTTATCCACTTCATCAACAACTTGAAGATGATGTTGAGAAGGTTGAAGAGAAGTCATCAGTGATTTACATTTATTATCCTGGTGAATTTAATCTCATCGAGTTAGTTCCACTCACAATCGCCATGACAATTCTCTTCGTCTACATGTACTTCTCGATTCGCAAAGTTGAAATGATTCGCTCGAGATTTATTGTCGCACTTGCTTCAGTTGTGACAGTTCTTGGCAGTCTTGTAATGTCGCTTGGATTTTGTTTCTTCTTCGGCATAAGTATTTGGGCGCAATCGTCAATGGGTGTGTATCCATATTTATTGATTCTCGTTGGACTTGAAAATTGTTTAGTGATAACAAAGAGTGTGATGACAACGGAGAATAATTTGGATGTGAAGATTCGCGTCGCACAAGGACTAAGCAAAGAAGGTTGGCCGATAACGAAGAATTTAATGACTGAAATAACAATTTTAACTGCTGGACTTGTTTTAACATTCCTACCGTTGATTCAAGAGTTTTGTATCTTTGCCATTGTTGGGTTAGTCTCCGATTACTTATTGCAAATGTTCCTTTTTTCAACTGTCCTCGGTTTGAATGTTAAGCGAGTTGAAGTCATTGCTGAAGTGAAGAAACTTCCAAAAATGCTCGACAAGTCAACGTGGAATGTTCATAAGAAGTTTGACACAAAAGCAATTCATCGTTCAGCTTCACATCCATCAAAGCTTTCCGATTTAGATCAACTTAAAGACACGACGAATGTCAATAAGACACAAAAAGAAAAAATACCAAAAAGATTAAGAATTGTGAATTTTTGGGCACGAACGAGATTCTTTCAACGAGGATTTATGATTTGGATGGTTTTATGGATCTCCAACATTATCTACTCATCAGGTATCATTGAGAATGTTTTCCTTATCGACAAATCAAATGGAACGAACACAAGTGAAACACAAACAACTGAAGGCGGTGGACATGTTGACACAAACAACAATTACGAACATATGGTGAAGAATCTTTCAAACATCATGATGGATTATTATACGAAGAATGTTCAATGGAATAAGCGATTAAATGAAAACATGGAGTCAAATATCACTGATAAGATTCAGAAACTTAAACATCCATCATTCGAAATTGGAAATCGATTGTCAAGTTTCCATTGGGCTGGAATATTTCGTCAATATAACATTTCAATGATCGGTCGTTATGTTACAATCTTACCATCAATTAAAATCTCTCACATTGTGCCTGTTGAAGTAGCTTCAAAGATAAGAAATTCCAACGATATTGCGCCGTCGTCATCGAAGTGGAATGCATTAACATCGGCTCTTGATCCACTTGATCTTAATGATGCTGATGGCGAAGATGATTTACTTGACATGGATCCGGTTGAGAATCAACCTTTGTATCCAAAGACACCGATGGAGATGATGTTGTTAGTCATTTTATGTGCTGTAAGTGTCTTCGTCATTACTTATACGATGATTGTGATGTATCGTTGCATATGTTCAAGAAATTATGCAGAATGGCGTGCAAGTCGATGGGATGAAAATGAAGTTATTGAAACAAACAGTGAACAAGTTTTAGAAGGTTTTCCTATTCAAGTTAAAGGTCACAAGCACAACGTTGAGTGCGTTGTATCAGATGGAAATCTCATTGCAAGTTCTTGTCTTCAAGGATTATTGAAGATTTGGGATTCAAATAACGGTGAGTTGGTCGCCGAAATTAATCGAATTGGATATTTTGAACAACTTCAACAATACAATGCTGATCGTCATTGTTCGTCACTCACATCGATGTCTGATGAGAATTTAATTCAACAAAAGAATTCACCACCACGTCATATGTTGACAGATCAACCATCATCAACATTAACACGATTAAAGACGTCACTTAAATTTGATTTCCAATCATCGTCACCATCATCAAGATTCTCATCAACTAAAAATGATTTTCAAAAAAGTTTCGATAAATATTTTGAACCAGCTGCTGTTGTGACAATGACAAATCATTCATCAGAGGGTGAAATTGTTGCAAATGGAGCAATAGGAATAAATAATAATAATAACAACATCAACAGTTTTAATCAAATTAATGTTAATCATAAATTACATAATGGTTGCAGTAGTGACAGCATAAATAGTTTGAATTCATCGGCAACATCATACAACACATCACCAATATGGGCGCTTGATTTTATTGATAATTTGATTGCAATCGGCTGTGCTGATGGTCGGTTAGAGTTTTGGGAGGGTACGACCGGTAGTTTTAAGTGTATTTATCAAACTGAATCAACGCATGGCAATGGCGTTACACATCTAAAACTTGCAAGTGATAAAGTGGTAGCAGCACGACTCTCGGGACGAATTGATTTCCTGCGACTTGAAACATACACGCAAGGACGTCACATTGATTGGAATTTTACGTCGGCGTATCGTCGAACACATGTCAGAACGGGATCGGCGGGTAGCATAAGTAATTTTAATCAGCAACAAAATCAAAGATATACACAAAGAAATTCACTCAATGCAGCAGTTAATCATCATCATCATGGTAATCATCATCAATCGTCATCATCATCAATACAGCACAACAATCTATCATCAAATTCACCGACGGAAGAAGAACTTCGATGTATTCTCGAGTTGCCACATCAAGGACATACACAACCAATAACATGCTTAGATGTCCTCGGTAATTTTCTCTTCACTGGAAGTCAAGATCATACGTTGAAAGTCTTTCATACAGACTCGAATACATTATTCTTTACACTTCATGGACATTGTTCACCAGTTACTTCACTTCTTATTGATCGATTTCAATCTGGAACGGGATGTTCTGGATCTCAAGATGGATTACTTTGTGTTTGGGATCTGATTACAGGTGAGTGAGAACATTTTCTTATCATCTCTTGGGTTGTTATTGAATTTCTTTTAAGGAAGGAGAATTTTTTGTGAGTTCAAATTTCAATGCTTTTAAAAAAAATACACTGCAGACAATCAAACTTTTCTTTTCTATGTGAAATTAATTAACACCCGTGGCTATAATTACTTCTTATGTACATAAATACAATTTAAATCTAATTTATTGAATCTTAAAGGTGCTTGTCTGTACAATCTTCAAGCACATGAAGATTGCTTGGTATCGATAGCAAGTGCACCCAGTTATATAATAACTTTGGGACTTGATGAGAGAATAAGAGTTTGGGAGAGATTTCAAGGGCATCTTCTCAGCACTATTATACTTCATCATGCTTATTCCAACTCTATTGTCATGTTGACGCCATCATTATTGATAACAGCAAAGCCAGGTGAGATTTTCTTGAACAAACCTTAATAAAATTTTATTAATAATTTGAGATTAAACATTTCAGGAGCTCTTCTGGTTTGGGACGTAAAAGATGGTCATGTGAAACATGAAGTTAAGCTCGATCGTTCTGAAATGAGTCAACAAATCACACCAAAAATTATGCTACCATCTTTTGGATCAATTATCACTGATTTTGGTCATCAATTGCGAATCGTTCGATTTCCACTTCACGATAAAAGCGAGTAACAAGAGATGGAAAGGAATTTTAACTTATTTAACACATTCTCTTCTTCTTCATCAGAAGAAATTGAAGAAGTTTTCTTTTCTTTTTTAATAATTAATTCAAAATTATTTTAACGGAAATTTCCGTTTTCATCCTTTAATTATTGAAAGAGAGAACGGAAGAGGAACTGAAATTAAACTTTTGTGTGAAACTAAACGATTGGAAGATGTTGAATGATTCCAAGAAAGTTCTGTTTTGATAATGATTTCTTTGGGGCATGTTACAAGCAGTCGTCAGACAGACTTTTCCATCACATGCTTGACTTGTTTGATCATCAACTGACGATGATTGCTTGCAAAATAAAAGAAGAGAAAAAAAGCACACAAAAAGAAAATAAATAAATTATTAACAAAAAAACAATTTTTCTTTGCTGTTAATTTTCGAAAATAACTTTTTTCTTTTTTTTTCTTTTATTTTCATCTCCTTTGAATTTTCTTTCATCAAAATGTTTAATCAAAAAAGAAATGTTCATGATTTTTCATTCTTCGTTTTCATCATTACTTGAGTACATTTTTAAAATTCAAATCATTTTCTGTTTCTCCCATTCATTGCATGTTATAATTTATAATTTATTAGTTTTGAACTTTTCTGATGTTTGTTGATTTTTCTTTATGAGAGCGAACAGACAATAAAATTTTGTTTTCTTTGTTGCTTTATCCTAATAAATTGAATTTATACTAATAATAATGCGAATTGTGGGTGGAAGAAGGTGGAAGGTGAGTGAAGAAAGAGAGAAAAATGAAAGAATTTATTGATACGAAAGAAAGAAAGAAAGTTTGATTTTAATGATCAACATTTTTAATGATTCAGATTTATTTTTATTGTAAGATTTTCTGCATCATCTTTTTTTCGATGAACAATTTATAAATTACATTTAAATCATGGTGAGGATAAAAAGCCTTTGGTTATTGATTTTTTCCACTCTCTCGCCTTCAATGCTACAATTTTCTGACTCCGACAACCCGTTGAAAGCTTATAATTATATATACTTTTTTTGATGATTTTGTTTTTAATTAATTGGCAACATAAAATTGTTTTTTCAACGCTCAGAGCCATTTAACAACGTATCTTTGTTGAGATTTAGCAACAGCATGCGTGAGACTAACGTCAAGTATACATCGAGCGATGAATGTGAGTGGAAGGATGGAAAATGTTGAGGAGGGGAAGAAAAAATTAAAATACTTAATGAAGGAGTGACGCTTGATTTATATTGTTCTGTTACATATCATAACGAATCTGTATCTTACATAGATATATCTAAGATATCATAAATTTTCATCATCTTTTCTTATATATTCATCATTATAAACTTCAATTAAACAATTTTCTCAATTTTATTATTTTCCTTTTTTTTCTTATATATCCTTTATTTACCCATAATCATCATAATAATTTCTTTTGTATTAAAATGTGTGTGTATGTGTGTGTATAAGTATATATCTCATTTCATTAAAGCAATGTTTCTTCTCATTATATCATATTTATGCTTGTCCCATCCCCGTCCCTTAATTCATTTTGTCATAAGTAAATTATTATTTTTTACCATCTTTGCAATGTACATAAAAATTAGAAAAGGAAAACAAAAAACAAAAATTTATTCATTTCAGCTTCAACAAATTGTTGTGTGCCTTTCTCTTGAAAGCTTTTTTCTTTCATTAATTTCGTTAGCAATCCACAAGGGAAACTTTGCAAATAGCACATATTTGTTTTAATTTAAAGAAAAAACAGTTTTCTTTCTCGTTTTTTTCTTCTAACGTAAGTAACAAAATATTTAACCTGTTAACATTTTATAAGAATTCTGGTAATCTGTGTGTGGGTGTGTAATATTGTGTTCACTTTTTCTTCATTCTTCCTTTCAAATTTTATTAATTTTTTCTTTTCATTTTAATTTAATTTGGCATTTTTCGTCTTCAAGGTTCAAGGTTAGCCTTCTTTTTATTTTCTTCTAATTCATAAACTTATTTTTGAATTTTTCTTTCATTCATTTACGAACTTTGCAGCCTTAAAAAACGATAATTTACAATTACGCAAATTTCAAGCATAAAAAAAAATTATACAGGAAGATCGTGAGCATCTTTTAATGAATTTATTTTCTTTTTCTTTGGAGTTTTCTTTCCTTTTCTTCTTGTTATTAGCTCCGTTATAAGGTGGATTTATTTAAGATTGATTTATCTTTCATTAAATTTTATTTTTATTTTTTTCCTTCTTTTATACATTTATAATCTGATTGAAATCTTAGATTTTTCATTCTTTCAACTTTGTAATCTTTTATTGATTGAACATAAAGTTCCGTCATAACAAACGGTTGAATTCCCTTAATTAAACTCAAAATTGCAATTATCAATCAATTTCTAAGAAATTAATTTCGCTTTATTGTCTCTTTTTTACGATTTTATTTTAAATATTTGCTATCGTAAGAGGAATCATAAAATGTGAAAGAAAATATTGAATTGAATGTAGGTAAGTGCTTTTAAATACAAAAAGAATTACATAGAAGAGGGAAAAGATAGTTTGGGGAAGCTTCATTGAGAAGTTGCAGTATAAGAGATAAAAGACTGTTCATATGATGACATATTTCCCTTCATACTTCAAAAGCAAATCACATTAAAAATTTGATTTCACATAAAATGATATTTTGCTTTTACTTCTTTTCAAAATGGCCCAAAAAGGTTTTTTCTTTTATTTTCAGATATTGAATTGAATTTTTTTAAAATCGTTTTGGATTTTTGTTCTCTGATATGATTTGACCGGGATTTTGTCGAGTGTTCGTTCTCATGTCACGAAACTTTTCAGAATAAAAAGGAATTTGCAGCAAAAAAAATTTCCGTGACAATTTCGTTCAATTTTTCTGTCGAGACTTTTGTAAATTTGATAAATGGTCGAATTTTGTTTCTGATTTTTTGCTCTCTGCTGATATGTTGGCGGAACATTTTCATTTTTTTTTGCATTCATTAACTTTGCTGATGATGGATTAAACATTTAAAACTCGTAATAGAGTGAAAGATGAAAAATTTCGCTGTGGTGTGTAAGTATTTAAATTTCTGTGAGGAGGGACAAATCAAAGCAATTTCAATATTGACATTGAGTGACACTTCAATTGTTTGTTCTGTTATGAGTCAAATAAACTTTAAACTTTAACTTTCATTCAAATAATGCTTACAGCGTTTGCAAGACAAAGTTTTCTGGTTTTTGATCGCCTGCAGATTAGACAAAGTTTTCCTGACTTTACTGCACTAAGTTTCTAAAGTTATGCTGGTTTTAAGTTATAAGTTCAAATGTTTTTGCATTTTTTTTATTTTCCTTTTTATTCATAAAAAATTCTCGTGTCTCTTAAGCATATGTCATACCTTGACAGATATAAAAATTCATCTCAGGAAGTTTTATGAGAGTGAGGTTGAAAATATAAAAGGAGGAGTTGAAAACAAAGCAACTTTCTTCATTTGTATATAAAATCAGATATTCCATCTTCTCCCTCCCGCTCTGAAATCTTTTCAAGATATTTAGTTCGCATTGTTGTATGTTCATCTGACGACATTTTGTAGGCAGATGAGATAAAAAAAAGAGACAAGTTCGAGCGGGTGGAGGGAAGGAAACGGGAATATTCGCAGCATAACTGAATAACAGAGAAAAAAGATTGGAAATCATGATAAATGACAATAATTTTCCGAAGTTGAAGTTAATAGAATTTCTTTTCTTATTCATGGGAAATGATGATGAATGGCAAATGAGAAGCTTCGCTATAACTGTTTTTCTACAACAATACACTTTCTTCTTTTTTTTTGATTTTCATGACATTTTCATATTGTTTTTATATCATTAGCAACCACAGATATATTTTAACGAGTTTCTCTTTTATTTTTATTATTCATTATTAGTGTAAAGAAAAAAAAAATACTTTGAAAATGTTTTCTTCTAAACATTTCGCCATTTACACGCCTTCTCATATTCAATGTTCTCTTGCTTATGGTGATTTAGCACACACAATAAATTAATAAAGGAGAACGTGAAAAATTAATTACTGATTACAGTCTGTGTGTGTAAATGAAGCCGGGAAAAGGTTATTTATTTATTCAATATTTTAAGTTGTTGTAGGGAGAAGGAAGAGAAGAACAAAAGTTATATTTAGGAACACTAAGAATCCGAATCAGGTGCTCGAAGTCATGTGATTTATGATTTTTACGAGAAAGTAAGCGTCGTTAATATTTGAGGCTTATGATAGCTTTCAAATTTATTTATTTTATGACTCTCCCCATGCTCTAAACTCTCACTTTCTCTTCATTCACCCCCGCATCTAAGGAAGTTTTTAATCAATTTATTTTCATTTTGGCTGTATTAAAGGAATTTTTTCTCTTCGCTTGTTAGAAAGGAATAAAAAAGAAAAAGCTGAAAATAAAGTTTTATGATAGAATCATTTCTTCTGTGAATTTTGTAAATGGCAAAAAAGCAAGAATGGACGAAATTGAATCGCATTCTCGTGTTTCAAACTTGGAAAAGAATCAATTAATTTCCCAAAAGACTTCTAACTAAACGGTTTATGTTTGTGGATCTTTAAATTTTATGCTCTCATATTTTGTTCTCGGCCCAGTTATTTGCTTCTCTTTATTTTCGATTTATGTTTCTTTCCCATAATCTCTTACTACCTTGTTATTTGAATCAGCGTTTGAAAGCCATTTTTTCAAATTGAAATGACACTTGAAACGAGATACTTAGGAGAAAAGACGAAGGATATTTGGAAATGAATAAAATTCAAGCTGTGAGCTTAAGAACAGTTATTAGACTTTAATCTTCAAGCTCTGTCAGAACAAAAAAAAACAGCCCGCCCTCGCCTAATTAAACAGAACACAATGAGTAAAAATGATATAAACGCGAAATTCCAAAACAGAAGAATTTTCCTCTGATAATACATCATTCCATACTCGCTAAGTTATTCCGCGAGTTATTTCTGCGTCGTGGTGGTGAAAGAAAGCGAAAGATAAATTAAAAACGACGGTTTTTTGTTGCTAGATGGGAACAGACAAAGGAAAAACGATAAACACATCAACCATGAAACAATTTTCTCTTATTCTTTGTACGAAAGTTTTTTTTTTGTTGTTTTATCAAATTTTTTTCTTTATCTCAGACCACACATCATCTCGTTGAACGATGATTTGTCGCGTGATGAGCTAATAAAAGAGTACAGCAGAAGGAGCTTAACATCTATCATATATTCAAAGAATTTTCTTTATTCACTTAATCATCAGCTAATTATTTGATTTTGTTTTTAATTTTATCATAAAGTTTCTTCCATTTTTTTTTCTGTCACTATCAGAGTATCAGAAGAAAAGTCAAATATTTTTCATACTTTTTTTTTTCTTTTTGATTTAAAGCTATCATCAACAGTGGTTTCATTATCTTCATCATAAATATGTTTTCTTTTTCTCATTTTTTAATTGAATTGTTCTTTGCTTAAAACATTTTCATAAATTTTTCATTTTAATTTTCATCATCTTATTAACATAACAAAACGCGTTCGCTGCTTTCATTTGGCAAACGCTCCAAAAATTTTTATTTTCATATTTTTATTTTTAATTCTTCATTCGTTCTTTATTATTTTTATTATTATTTAAGCACAAAATTTTCTACTTTGCTTATCAATAATTATTTTTTTTACTCTTAAAATGAAGAGATATAGAAGTAAATAAATAAAAATATTTTATTCCGTGGTTTTCATGCCCGCAGGAAAATAAGCAAAATCGTTTGCTTTTTGCTGTGATGTTGTTGGTGAGTAATGATTATAATTTCATTCCATTCTTCACGGTCGATAAACAAAAAATGAACGTCGAACGTCCCGTCCAACAACAGAAAATTGAAATTTATGCTTTCGGGAATGACTTACAGCTGATACCATTTTTTATCGCGATATTTCGACATCAATTGATGAGCCGTGCCACTGAATTGTTGCGCTTCATTCGACATTCTTTCAGCGTTGTCTTCCAATCGATTCAACTTATCCCCACGTTCAACCATCAACATATGAGCACGACTGACTTCATTCGTCGCTGAATTCGCTCGATTTCCCAACTCCTGAATATTTGCATTCGGACCAGATATTAACTTTGCAACTGAACGATTTGGTTTGCCGCTTGACGTCTCACCAACTGTTGAACGATAATAATTGCATGTGGGTGAATGTAACTCTCAAAGCATCATAAAATAAGCATGAGATTAAACTTACACAACTCTTCACGATCTATGCTCTTTGTTCCACCCCCAAAGAGTCCTTTAAAGAAACTTTCCTTTGGCGGTTCTGGCATTTCACATTGAAGATAAAGTTCACCCAGCATGTCATTGAAGTTTTGACTTTTGTGTTTTGTTGAAGCAAGAGAAGAACAAAAAAGAAATTTGTTTAATTTTTTTTAATTAAAAGAAGCAGTTGTAAACATTTGTTTATTTTCTTTCTAATGTTTTGAATCAAAACCATAAGAAGAATGAAATACGAAAATCTTTTACCTGAACTCTGAACAAAGAGTGAACTTTTGAATTTCAGTCGGTGTTGCCAAATACAGTCCATGGCCTCGATTGCTAAAGCAGAATGTTTTAGAGATTCTTTAAACATGAACAGCGGAGGAAGTGTTGGTAATCATGATGACGATGACGAGAGTAACAAAAAAAAAGAAACGAAATTAAAGAAGAAGAAAGAAAAAAGGTTCAATTAGAATTCCAATTAAAAATTTAAGCATAATTTACAACAGAGTTTTGAAGTATTTCTAATAAGTAATTATGGTGTTTTATAAACCATCGTTGTCGCTTCATTCGGCGCTGTTTAATATTGTTTTATATGTACAGAAATTTGTCAATAACTTTCAATTATTTACTCATGCTCGACAATTCACAAAGCGAAGAGAAATGAAAGTAATTAATTAATTAATTAATTTATATCGAATCAGAACATGCTTTATATTTATTACTGCTTTTATTACAGCAAGGCTTGTTGTTTTGTTAAAAAGAAGTTTCAACAACATGTTCAACATGATGATAGGAGGTAGAAAGAGAACAAGAGAAGAGTAAGAATGGTTGGAGGGTGTGCAGAAAAAAAAGAATGTTTTAAAATATTTACTAACAATGGTTTTTAACGCAACAATTTTCAAAGCTGGTGGTGGTGGTGAATGTTTGGAATATTCCTTCTCCTTCCCATCCACCACTGTCAGCATGTTGTCTCATAACGAGACAATCTTCTCATCATCCACAAAGAAGGGAACAAGAAAGCTTGTTAAAAACTTTCTTTCGTCCTTCTTCATTTTGTTTTCGCTTTTATTATTTAAAATTTTTTCTTTGCTTTACACGAAATTTAATATAAACAAATTTGAAATGGGTTAAATTTTCCTTTCCTTTCTTTTAGTTGCGAATCATTTAAAGTTTGCCGGCTTAATTTTGTTTATTTACAAGAAAACAAAAGAAACATTGGATGATGGGAAGAGATTGAAGGAAATTTACAAGAATGTACAGAACCGACGAGATTTTTGTTCTTTTTGTTTCATTGCGATTTTTCTTTTTAATTTACATTTTGATTGACAAAAATTCTTCCACACTCAACTTACTGATTCGAATCCTCATGCACAATCAATTGTTGACCCCATATTGATAACATCGGATCTACGATTCCTTGCTTACATTTGGTCTGAAAGCTGCATATGAACAACAAACACAAATAACATAACAACAAATACCAGAAATATTCTTCTCGTATGAATTTTAAAACTTTCAAGGAAGGGAATAAAAGATATTTTATGTATAATTTACTAAGTAAGTTCTTGAGAAATCATTTCAATGTGTTGCAGAAGAAAGAAGAAGAAAAAAAATAAAAATGAGCGGAAGAATGTAAAAAGTAAAAATATTCAAAAAACATATTTTGTGTTCGCTTTGTTACGAAATATTAGAAAACATTTTCCAGCATAAAATACCAAAAACAGAACAATGTTTTCTTTTTTGGAGAGAAGGAGAAAAAATTTCAAGAGTTTCTGGTGTATGTTTCAAACAAGAACATAGCGATGATGTTGATGTAGGAGAGTGAAATAAAATAAAAAAAAAGATAATAAGAAAAAAGGGCAAAGCCAAACATGAGAAATATGTTTGAAATGTTTTTTTCCACTTTGATGATGATTCCGAGCATATCGTCATCATTTATGAATCCTTTCGGAAAGCGTTCGAAGAATGAAGAAACCGAATAAGACTTTGAGATTATGGCATGAAATAAGAAACCTTTTTTCTTTTCTTAAAGTAACAATTTTATTCGACTTTTTTCTTCTGCCCGCATCGCAGTTAGATATTTATTCATTAAAAAAATATTAAAGGTAACGTTTGGCTTTCAATTCTCGTCTTACTTATGAGAACAAACAAATGCTTGAAGCATAATCGTAAAAAAGAATGCAACCAACGAGTAAAAAGATTGAATAAAAATTTCTATCTATCATAATCTCAATTTGAGCAATGAGGGCAAAGAATGAGGCAAGGAATTTCCTTTTAAACAAAGTAGAGAGAAGATTTCTTCGAAAAGCAGATAACATCAGTTAGCAGCCAAATAGAAGTGATTTTCGTAATGTTATCAAAACTTTCAACAAGGAAATTATTTGCTTAATTCTTTCTAAGCCTCGCTTAAATACTTTGAAAGGCACGCGAATCAAAAAGAAATTCTGAACAAAATTCTTAAGAGAAGGAAAAAAAATAATCAAAGAGAAGGAAAAAGTGAAAAGAATTGTTTTTGCGAAATGCTTGTTTGGAAATTTATATGTGTGTGTGTGTGTGAGTTAAGCTTTTATGCTGTGATACTGAAAGAAAGGAAATCTTGCAAGATTATCATGATATTGTGCGAAGAAGATTAGAAATGTCTAAGATACTTTTATGTGGAAAGTGCAACAATTGTGACAGTGGTTGACGACAACTTTTCATGAATAATTTTCACTTTCATATTTTATTGTGAAGAAGGAAATTTCTCATTTGTGTTTAGCTTGCATTTGTGCTTGCATCTTCTAAACACGATATAAGTAGTGCTGTTTTTGGTTTTTGTGGTTTTATTATTGCTTAAAGCGTGAACAAGGAACAAAGAACTAAAGGCGGTTGAGAGAAAGTTAAATAAATATATATAAATACTTATTAATATCTAAATATTGCTTTACACACACAACAAGTCTTCATTTCTTTTTTTTAATCCAAGGTTCCATTTATAATTTAAAGTTTTACTTTAAAAATTTATAACGTGGCTTTGTGTGTTCTTATTACAAGAATGGAAAGAGAAGAAATGTGGAATAGAAAACAGATTTAAATTCGAAGAGGGATAGAAATGCTTTAGTATAAGCACGAAAAGGATTTTTTTATTTTCAGGGAGTTAGAGAAAGCTATTAAGAGATTTAAAAGTTGATCCAAACATGAGCCGGGCTCATCGTGTTTTCCATTTCTTTCATTTTGGGATAACAAATGTGAAATGTTAATTTTTCTTCTCGATTTCATTTTCTATTTTCAACCACTAAATGTTACATATCTGTTGGTCATGAAAAGACCATCCGAAAATGGTTTTTTTGGTTAATTGTCAAAAGTTGTTAATTTGGCAATAAATTTTCCTAGCGAAGGCAGTGAAAAGCAATTTATTAATCTTACCTCAAGTCGGCCAGGGGAAGAAAGTCGACATCAATAAGCTGACGAAGGCTGGGTAGACTAAAAGCCATAAGATGACCATTGGATACGTAACAAACAAGACAAACACTGTCTGCAATATCCAATAGAATAAATGTTTGTTGATTTAAAATTCATTTTTCTTTCTAATTTGACATCTTAAACATAGATAAATTTGCCTTCACGCACCTTTCATGCTTACAACTTCAGCTCTTACAACGAAATCCGTCTCGGTGATTTGAAGACGATAAACACAATTTTGACTTGGAAGAGCTACAATTCGGCACTGTTTCTCACTCGTTATCACCATAAATTGACGATCTCCGAAAGAAGTTTCTTGATTAAGTGTGGGACTCATTCGATTTGTGCCTTTTGTGGGCGTTTCTGTCGATAGGGAAATGAAATATGTGATAAGAGTAAAAGGTTTAAATGAATGACAGTCATATTTACTTTCTCGTTTTCCCTCGTCTTTCCATGGTTCATACGAATAAGGGACGAGAGCTCCATTGCAATCCAAAAATGACATACACAAGATGGATCCTTTTAATCGAAAAATGGGACCACCTAAGCAAACATAAACATTAATGTTTTAGAGCTGATTAAAAATATTTCATTTTTCGACGTGATACCTAATATCGAGACTAACACCGGTGATGTGTTTCGACTATCAGCATCTGATAATGTAATTGAAACTGTCAGAACTGACCCAAGACTCGTGCCTAACCATAACGTCGGTATGAGTGCAGATGGATCTAGCAAAATTTCATTTAGCATTTAATTTAAATTAAAACTCAAATTGTTTGTCATGAATATTTGCTTACCGCTCTTCTTTGTATAACTATCAACGAACGCTAAACACGTCACTGCTTCAGACGTTATATTCTCTAAGCTCGACATCGACGATGAACGCGACCGAGAAAATGAATTGTCCAATTTATCTGCACGACCGATATTTTTGAAAATGAAAATAAAGAATTGCAATTAAAGAACATTCAAAGGAATTGAATTAGTGGCTTTTATATAACAGTGAACTGATGGTGCTGGTAATTTATTGATTATTTACATTCATATTGATTATTCTCATCACTCATTGTGTTCAGTCATAAATGAACATTTCTCAACATTGAGCGACTTTTCATGTTAGTTTCATTCATTTAATATATCGTGTTGCATTACTTACAAAACAAACAAACATTCCTATGTATTTAAATAAATCTGTGCGCATTCAAAACAAAGAAGAACTCATTGCACATATCAGCGATTTCAATCTAACTTTTCTACAAATTTAGCATGCGAATGGAAAAGCTTTTTTGGGATATTCAACATTCAAGCATTCAGACATAAATTGCTTCTTCTCATGCATAAGATGCTTTACATTTTGATTTATACAGACAAGTAGATATGTAACTAAGTAAAGTTTATTATTTCATAAAGTAAGGGGGGAAAAGGGAGAGAGAAAGAGAGTTGAGTTCATGTTCTTAGTTATGTTACAAGATGTTAAAAAGTGGAAAGTATATTTTGTATAACTAATAAATCGTTTAATTGTTTTTGTTTATTTTCTCCAGAATCAGAATAAATGATAGAATGATACGTTTGTGTTTTAAATACAATTCGATACAACATCAGCTTAATATTCAGAATAATAAACAAATATTTATGTATTTCAATTAATATACATTTGAAATTGAAAATGTTCAATTATGAATAAATAACTTTGCTTATTGCAAAATAAATTCATTCAGATGTGAAAAAAGAGAGAGAAATAGAAAACGGTTGGTGGAGGTTGAGATTTAAGATTAAAGTTAATTAGATTATTAAAAGAAAGAACTCATAAAAATGAAAGTTATTGCTTAAAGAAGGCAGAGCAGCTACAGCTTTTCCCATGACTATCTAGCGCTTATTTGGATTTAGTCGGTGACTATCATTGGATTAAAAGCACATAACACTGCTGCTGCTTCACCTCATTCACCTGACTACCTAGCATTTTTGTTTTATCACAAAACTACTGAATGAAAACAAGGAGAACAAAACGAAATTTATTTTCAAACTCAAATCCACTTATGGTATAAGCGTGAATGTGAAAATGTAATTTGGAAAAGAAAATGAAAAAGAAACAAGGAAAACCAAATAGAGAAATTATTTTCCTCGCTATTTATTCTAAATTAATAAACAAATATTTGCTTTTTAGCATGAACTACTGCTTCTCGACTCAATTTTCTGCATTTTCCAAATTATCCTTTCGTTAACATATATAATAATCTACGACTTAATAAGTGAAAATATATGAAGGAAATTCAGAGAAAGAGAGAGAAAATAAGTAGAAGATGAGAGAGAGAGAGAGAAAGCGATACACGAAGCAAAAGCACAACAAAAATCAATATTTATAGGCAATGGAGAGTTGCAAAAAACCAAAACTGAATATACACATTGGGAAAAATTGTAATTTGGTGATTTTTTTGCTGCTTTTTTTTTCTTGTCTACATCACATGGAGGAGGATGCGATGAACTATTTAATGTTATCCTCAAAGCTATACAGCAAAATACTGTTTTAAGGATCCATGTAGACACACATTGGATGGCCATTGATGAAATATCCTACAAATCGATATAACAAACGGATGAGTTGGGAGTGAAAAATGTTGTAATCAGAGCAGGAAATATATGACACTTTCATATTTTTTTACATAGTTGCCATGTTAATGAATACATCGGATAACTGCAACATTAAAATTTCCTTTTTTGTTGTTGAGAAATTAAAAACATTAACAAATTTAAAGTAGGAAAATGTTGAACATACAACATAAAGAAAGGAGTTTAGTGGCACCACATCTCATAGAAGGATAATTACTAAATACCTTTATATATTATAGGTATAGGGAGTGAGAGAGAGAGAGAGAGAGATAGAAATATCTATTAAGCAGATTATACATTAATCCGAATTGCTGGTGATACAATCTACTTATGCTTTGTTTTGCTTTTTCTTCTTTTCTAACATAATCCTACATTTTTGTGTATAGATTTTTATTTTATTTTCACACAATTTGTTCGTTCGCTAAATGCAATTCTTCGTCATGTTTTACTACCATTTATGAGTCTTAATTGCGGAAGTTAAACGTGTGCGATTACAGAAGGGAAACGACGATGATATAAGCCATTCCAGATGTTACAATTAAGTCTATCATTTATGTGCAGCTATAACATTGAGTTTCCTTTTTTTTTGTAATTTTTTCTACTACATTAACTACTTAGATATCTTCCATTTCGATTTCTTTTTTATACTTTTTTCAAATCGTTTCATTTCAGGATAGAAGTGGTTATAGAGACGGAAGGAAATAGAAATCTTAAATACGGATAAAAAAAGATTTTCATTGTGTAAAATCTCATCGACATTTGAATAAAGGTTTTAAAGAGATTTAAAGATAAGAAAGAAACATAATTTGATCACGATTTACATTGTGTACTCATTTTTTTTGTTAATAAATATCTAACACTTTTATTATTTATACAACATGAAAAAGATAAAATGAAAATCTTGTTACAATCATCAGAACAGCTTTCATCTACGTAAAGATCTTACTACAAAGATTGTCATAGCAGTGTAGAGAAGGGAAATTTGAGCAATTTTCCATAAAGAATTCATTTCATTGTTACGAGAAAGGATAGTGACCATCAATCTAAAGAAGAGAAACAGGATATACGTCATTATCTTGAGTGTGTGTATGTGGTTAGATGTATACTTAAAAAGGTTTTAGATAAGTTTTTCTTGGTTCTACATTGTGCACTTCATCTTTTACTACATTCATGATGACAGAATGTCCACAACAGTTATAAATGGTTCATGAATTTCTTTACCTATCGTATGAGCACGATCTCCAAGTTTTCAAGGTTTTTATCGATTGATTGGCAATTCGTGTACAATAAGTATGTGATTAATGTTGATATTTTTATATTTTCCCAAACACATAAGCACACACGGTTTTCATTACAATCAATGAATCGGTTTGTAACGTCATAATTTTTATGTTTTTATTTTCATTTTTTATTTTCGGGTGTAAGAATGACGTGAATTTTAAAAGAAATGGATAAATATAAAAAGGGAAAGAGAGAGAAATGATATAAATTTAATAAATTTATTTTCTTATTCTTACTTAGCACTTTACATTTATAAATATTTTCCATTCTTTTGAGAGTATCATAAATAATTCAAGGCTGACACAAAACAGCACACAATTTGATGGTGGAAAAAGGTTTAAAAGATTTCAATTTGGTAAGAGAGGAAAGTTCCTTCCATCTTCATTTTGTTGTGCGACTGTTAAGCATCAACTTTGATTATCATTTCTAAACATAAAATTGACTTTCAAAAATGAAAAAGGGTCTTTCATTGTCATCATAGAGGAAGAAGTTAAATATGCTAATCAAAGATGTGTCGTAAAGATTTGAAATATATTTTGTGAGTTCAGTATAGGTAGGTTGAAAAGTAAATTCAGTTTCTTCTTATCTTTTCTTTCTTTTTGTGAGTACATACTAAAAACGAACATAAAAAATTATTTTTCAATTATCCTTTCAACATAAATTTCCTTTTAATGAATGTTCTTATGAGCTTCTGAATTCAATAAAGAAAGAAAGTCATGAAGAACATTCAGTCGCAAGAAATTTATATCGATCAATTTTGTACGAGGTGGAAAATCAGTAATTGGTCTCATTAGACTCTACGTTGATGTTTCATTTTATCGAGATTAAATAAAATTGACAGAGAGTAGTAGTAGAAGCAGTAGAAAGGAAGACAGAGAGCATAAAGGAAGCAATCTAATGAGATTTGTTATTCATTCGCTAGGATAGAAGAGAATAGTTTATCATTATATGAGACGTGGTACTACCAAAGCTGCAGTATTGACGTGATAAAAGCAAATTATGACACGGCGATGTTGCTTTCAACGACCGACATGATACTGATAATGACATCGCTTCTCCATATGATGCAGTAGATAAGCATTTTTGCAATATTTTCCCACCTTGCGACCTTGACTTTCGCATACAGTCCGGCCCTGGTGCGGTGGGTACATTACATCCACTAACATTAACACTACCACTAATTCCAGCGATTGCACGTTTATTAATGGGACTAACTGCCGACGTGATACTGCCACGTGGGTCAATTGACGATGCCGTACCTGAGCCACATACACCGTTCATCTTCAGTTTGGTGTTTTCAGTTTTATTTGTTGTGGTTTCGACAATTTCGTTATTATAATAATTTTTATTATTAATTGTGTGTTGTGATGATGCAATAATAGGATTAAACCAAACGGTATTATTTTTGTGTCACACAATGAAGAAAAAAAAAGAAGAAGAGAGAAAAAAAGGGAGCAGAAGGTAAAAAAAAGTAACAAATTTTAGTAGAAATTTATAACATTTATCTAATCAATTAACATAATCTTGTTCATTAAGTTTCGTCAATGATAAATTTCAATATCATTTCATTTCATTTATCTTCATCATTATTTTTTGATGAGATGAAGATGTTGAAGGAGATGGAAGTTGGAGGTAAATATTTATGTTGCTTAAACAAGTGAAAGAGAGAGTGTCAGAAGATCAAGAAGTGTCATTCATTTTCCTAGATGAAAGTTTTAAAATGGTTAAAATTTCATGAAGTATTTAATTGCATCAAACGATGGAAGACAGTGAAGATTAAGTGTTTCTAAGACAAAGGATGAAAAGGAAAGGATGGGAAAGAGCAATGAGTACATTGGAGGTAAGTAGATGATGAAAATTTCAAATAAATGGCTTCTTCGTTCTTTATTGTTGAAGTGCTTTGAAGGATAGATGAAAGAAAGGGTTTGCTTCGCTTTTGTAGAAGGCGGTGTGCTGCTTTTAGTGCATGACTGGTGACGGTGAAAGACTCATTTCCAGGACAGAAGAATCAGCTTAAACCAACCCGTGCAAGCTTAAATTTTGACAAAAGCTTTACGCATCGTTGAATTGAGTCTTTTTTCTTCTCCTTTCTTTTCTTTAATTTTTATACTGCGACGAGTGTCGGAGACTTGTACGTTCTTATAAGGATAATACCATCAACAGTTAGGCAACAACACCGAGGCGAAATGGAAACCTAATTTATTTATGCTCCTTGATGAAGAGAAGCTGAATAAGATAATTACGACAAGATTAGAAACAAAACAACAAAAAAAGAACCCTCAGAATTGTACATATATATTTCATCAAAAAGAAGTTCTTAATTAATTAAGAGATGGAAAATTATAAGAACAACATAAAAGGAAAAACAAGAAGAGAGAGAGTTATGGCTAACTTAGCGGTGAGAAATGTAATGAAGGAAAAAAAGATCACATGGATAACTACATAAGTAATAAACAGATTAAATGAATATTAAAAGAAAACACATTTTAACATTTTATGAAGCATAATTTATGTTAATGTTTGTGTTTGATGTGTTTTAAGGTTTATTTCTCTGCTTCTTCTCATTTTTGACACTTTTATTTGATTAATATGACAAATTGAAGCTACATTGGTTTGACACGCAACGAGATGTAAAATAAAAGTTGAGGTTCACTTCAAGCGACGCATAATCTTTGAAAAGTTTTGTGTTTTCGGTAGACGAAATTTTAACTAAATGAATAATTAATTAACATGGGGATCGTTTGAATATTAAGTTAAACTATATTCGATTTAACTTGAACATTTCCGAATGGTTAAAGTTTCCATACTTGATTTATAGTCGCCACAATTAAATTAAGGATAGACAATGGAATCCCTGCTGGGCTGACGCAATTTCTTCACAATCCCGACCATTGCTTGTGAAAAATATAAAATTTATTGCTTTGCTTTTCGTCCCTTCGAAGGCTGAAGCATGATGCGAAGAAAAGAAGGAAAAAAAACTTTAAAAGTATACAAAAATATTAAGAGAAATGAGGTTTTGTATAAGAAACCTTTTAAGCATTAATTACAAGAGAAGAAAGTTGTGACAACTTTGAGCATAAAATGATGCTGAACAAATAGCCTTTTTTTGTTTTCCTGCTTCATTAGGAGTACAATTGCCTTCAGCTTTCTTTGAAGAATAATTTTTATTACAGACCAGATTCCTTTCTACGTCGCTTTATATTTCATTCCGTACTTATAAAACAAAAATTGTTTACACTCATGAAGATGCTGAGGACTTTTCTTTTTTTCCTTCCATTATTATTAAAATAAGCAAAGGAATGAGAAAAAATATTTTCTCATCGTTCATTCATTTCAAACGCGATGAAAAAAAAGAAAAGAAATTTGAATGAAAGGAACAAGTTATGAACATTCTTGCTACTTGTTTTACTTGTGCAATTGCATAACTATGAGTAGCAGCATTAAAAGTTATTTAGTTGTTGCTTAAACTGGCGTAGTTCTTGTTATAACAAGAGAGTGATAGCAAAATATTCTAGCAGCACACTACTCGTTAACAAATGCACTAGGGAAAGAATTTTCTTCATATTTTCTTTTTTAAATATATTATTAACAGTAATGCACAGCTAGATACTTAAATGTAATATAAAAGCTAAGTGAAAGGGATTTAAACTTCTTTCATCCCATATATTAATATAATATTTACCGAAAAATTCACCAAAGAGAAGTTTAAGGCAACTTTCACTTTGATCAGACGAAGAAGACGAAGGCGAAACATCTTGTGTCGTCTACAATGTTAAGTTGAGATTATATCAAAGTGTCAAATCATCACAATATGTATAGACAACATGAAGAAGGGCTTATCTTAAAACACATCAAATAAAAGCTTTTTCAAAGAAAGAAGAAGGAAAATTACTTTCTTCTTTCCACCATTAACAACATAAAGAGAAAAAGAATAAAAAAAAGAAGAAGGAAAGAGTGAAGGGAGATAAAGTCAAATCATCACCAGAAGATCGTTTTAATACACAAACAATTTATTCTTAATTTAACTTTTTTTTTTCTGTCTCGTTGATTATCGTTAGCTGCTGAAACCAATTACGATATAACCAATTGATGTTATGATAATCAGGTTGTGTCTATGTATGTTTTTAATGATACATGAATTTCGTTATGGGTTAGAAGGAATTATTTATGTCATTTTATGGTTCACATATCTACATTGTGGTTGGTGGCAATATGTTCATGTGTCGCATTATATTGGGAATAGAAATGTCCCCAAGTGATGGGCTTTGGATTGGAAAATGAGGTTGTAAATGTTTTTCATGTTCGTACACCATGGGTGATGCTTTTTTTATGTAATTGATTGAACATAGAAATAAAAATGAGCTGTTTATGTTTTCAGTCTTATTCGTTTGTTTTTCATCACGAATGATTTTTTTTTTTTATGTTTTTATGCAGTTGAACATGTGATGTGATCATTTACTTTTTTACTTTCATAAACACATTAATGTTATGGGTTTAAAGCTGCCAAACTCATAACCAAAACAATTTTTTAAGAGAAAATTTCTTGCAGTTATTAAAAAAGTAAATAAAAGTTGAATCAGAAACTTTCTCTTGCGCCATGGAACTATATAAGAACTTGACTATTCTAATAAAAAGCAAATTTGAGAAATTCAAGTTATTTTAAATGTTCAATGTTAAATATTTAATAAAAAGCTGTTAAACGAAAACGAAAAATTTCTAGTGTTGCATATCAAATTAAAAAGAATCTCTCCTAGCGTATTTCCTTCTAAAGAAATGTTTTTATTAAACAGCATTAACCATCTAAGCTAAGAAATCTACTATGGAAAACTTTTCTATTCTAAATGTTGTTTGTACGACAAGGGCCTAATTTACTTAGAGAGATAAACTCGTTTAAGTTTTTCTCTGTTTCAATAGAAAAACTTCAATTGAGGTAAGTTCAACTAAGTCGATTTCTCTCATTCTTCCAATTTCGTTTCGTTCGTCGCATAAGACGTGTTTGGAAAAGAATCCATAAAAAAATAAACGAAACCACAAACAACAATGCAGCGAGACGAAGAAAACAGATTTTCCTTAATATCCGTTTCTGGATAAATTTTTGGGGGAGAAAGAACTTTGGAAGAAAAGTTCAAAAGGATGAAACTTTACTTTTTATGTTGTTGTATAAAAAAAAGGAAGACGCGTGGAAAATCTCGTAAAATCGCATGAAACTCATCATCTCATGTTTTTATATCAATCAATCTTAAAAACATGCCCGAAATCAATCTTCCACTCCCATCACAATATATCACAGGAATGGGGGCGGCTAAAGATCATTGGAAAAGAAGGAAAAAGAAGAACAGCATGAAGGAAAAACGTATCAGAATAGGATTTTGTTTTCTGTTATACTTGCTGCGTGTTTTTCATTTAAGATTTAAGCGTCAGCACGAAGAAGAGGAGATTGAAACCTAAGAAAAGGTCGAAGATTTTCCATCGCTTTCTTTTTGCCTTAGGCGAAAGTATTTCTTAAGATAGAAATCGGCTTTTGTTACTGTAACTCTTGACAACAAAGTTCAATTCATCTTCTGAAGCCAGATGGGCGACAGAAAATAAAAAGGAAAGTAAAGAAGAAAACGAGACATATCAAGTATGTCGATAGAAAGTGTACAAAGGTGTATGCAAAACAGCACAAATGCTACATAACTGTTAGTTGTGTAATGGAAAATTAGTTTTTCTTCGTCTTTTTCTTCTTCCTCGAACGATTTCGCAAAGAAAAATTGTCTCGGTTAAATGAAGTCATAAAAAGCAAATGAAAAGAAGAAAAAATGTTGTAAGGAAACAGCATTCTTGTGTGTGAATGAAGCTTTGAAATTGATACTTACTGAAACGCCGTAGTAAATTTCCTTTATTTTTATTCGATTTCTGATCAACGACATTTGATGTCTTACGAAGATTGAGCAAACGATTTGTGTCTTGTTTATTGAGCTTTATGTTAGGAACCGAAAGTAATCTTTCGAGTCTCTTTGAGCCTTCTCGTTTAGCTCGTGGTGGAGGCGTTGGCGTTTCACTAGCACCCAACGGAAGCTCGGTTGGGCGTGAAATTCCAGCACCTTCAATCGTTGACATGCTAACCTTTTTGCAAGGTTCTTCAACAAATTCCACGCGCTTCACAATGGAATCCTTTTTATCGTTTGCGCTATTTGTTGTTTTCGTTACTTCCTTATCACATTCAGAGCCTAATTCTTCTATGTTCTTGATAAGATCAGCAATTTTTTCTGTTTTCTCTTTGTCATCGTCGGGTGTTGGCGGACCGGACTCAACTGATTCAGGAGATAGTTCCACTGGTGAAACAAATCCCTCTGCAGTTGAACCATAGAAAATGGATCCTTTTCTATCTTTTCCGAATGGCTCCGAAAATGTGTTCTTAATTTTCATTTCCGCTTTCGACAACTGATTCTTTAAGCCTTTCCACGAAGAATTCTTTCTTTGATTTGCTTTCATTTTACTCGCTTCCTCAGGCGATATTGCTTCTTCATCAAGAGATAAAACTTCGAGTGCATCGGCAGCAGGCGAAACAGGACGTGACGGCTCGTTGGACTTAGGTTGTGGACTGATTGACATATCGAGCAACTAAAGCAAATTCAGTGATTTTTTTTCATAATTTTTTTTCCAACCAAGAATAAATAGAAAAAGATTCAAAAACAATAAAACAGAAATCTTTAAATGAAAGAAACTTACAAACAAAGCATTTGCTTCTTATTTATATACTCAAAAATATTAAATGAACATTCAACAGCAAGAACGAGAATTTTCAAGTCTTTTCACAACCTTTCCAACATTTTTCCGTTTTGATTGTTTCAAACAACAATAGAAACATCACCAAAAAGAATTCTCATTTCCATTAATGTGAATATTTTTGCATGAATCTTTACAGTTAGGTGTGAAAATTCTTCTATTTTTCATCACGTTCTCGATTTTGATTGTTTGTAACTGAGGTGAATAGGAATTCAATTCTTTGTACATGTTTTGTTGAAAAGAGCTGCCATCATACTCCATTTTAATTCTTTCTTTTCGTTCACACAAAAAAAAAAGAATCATTTTATGAAAAATTTTCTTTCTCTTTTATGAAAATTTCATGAGGTTTGAAAATGTTGAAACTTTTTGTGAAAATAGAACTTTGAAACTTCTCATGAAAGTTGATTGTTGATTCTTCTTCATCATCGTTATTATTATTATTGATCGAATGAAATTAGTTGGTAACATCGAACTTTAACTCTTCTGAGCGCTTTTTATAACAAAACTTTTACTTATCAGAGTAGATTTGATAAGTTCACAGTTCATTCATAATCGATTAATTATGTACGTAAATTGAGAAGGTGGCAACTCTCTCGTTAATCCACAAAACATTAAATAATGAAGAAAGAGGAAAAACAGAGAGAGAGAAAGGATATAAATTAAGCGTAATTAAGCTTTTTCCGATTGTGAAAAGCTCTCGAGAATTTATAGCGGTGAGCTTTCAACTGTACAAAGCATTCATAAAGAGCGAACTTTTAGACATAAAAAATAACATAAAATAGCTTGATTTGCGTAAAAATATTTTAGTCTCAAGAGTGAGAGAAAATAAACTTTCCATGATGGTAAAAAAAAGTAAATGAAAACAAATTGCTTGCGGGTAAAAGCAAAGCAAATCTAATTTACGTAATTTTCTTTCCAGGAAAAAATAGAGAAAAATGTAAAAAAAATCTTGCAATTAAATCAAAAAATCGTTTCATGATTTTCTACATCAAAATAATATTTACTCAAATTGTTTTTAACGAGCGATGTTAGAAATCATTCGCTCGCACCTAAAATCAAATCATTTGCGTTAACATTAATGAGTATTGAATGAAAGCGAAATTATGGGGCGGAATGGTGATGATATTTTTTTTTCCTTTTTGAATTTGATTTTCATTTAATTCCATTATGTAAGTTCAACATTTCTTCTGGTTTCGGTTATGACTTGACACTTGAATGAGCTTTTCATTTCAGTCTTTTTCTCATTTACTAATAAATGAAATGCATTAGGCATGGTAAATAATTTAAATGAATTCAAATTGACATTTTCTCAAATCTTATTTATAGAATAAAAAGAAGAAAAATAACAAAGAAATCAAGTCCATGAATTAAATCATTCAAGAGCGACAAAAAAGAGATTGAAATTCAAATCAAGAAAAAAAGGTTGATGAAGGCAAAAAAAGGAAAAGAAAAACTTTTTAAAGATCATGAGATATCGTCAAAAAAATGTAAAATAAACATGATATCAGAATGCAAGAAAAAATAAATGTCAAAAGGCAAGTAAAAAAGGAATCAAAGTCGTTTTTCTTTTCTTTTTTTTTGTTGTTTATCAGAAGCCAATAATCAAGAAATTTGTCTCGAATTACGAATAATTTCTCTTGATATCAAAGAATTCAAATTAAATTGGATCATGTTGAGGTTTAAGATTAGAATCTTTCATCAAGAGTCGTTTGGGGGAGGGAGTTGAGAGGAAGTAGAGTGGGAAGTTTGAAATGACACCCGTTGTTTAATTTATATACGATTTAGAGTTTTCGTTTCATCATCAAATCGAAATTTCTGTCTATCAAAAAGTTATTTTAAATTTCAAATCTTACAACTTGTAGTTGTTGCTATTGATCGATGAATCATCTACAACCATACAACTTACTTGATCATTGCTCGGTGAACATTGCTCGTCGCGTGAGTAAGGCGGCTCTGAACGTTTAGGACTACGGGGAACTCGTGAATATGGATCTTGTGCACCATACAAGTCAGGACTTGCAACGTTGAAAAGACAGACTTTTTGCACGATATCAACTATCGCTAGACCAGACTCATTTCCATAAGCCATTCTGCATTGAATGAAATAATGGAAGAGAAAGGAAAAGGAAAAGAAATTATTCAGTTGATGAAAAGATTTTTTACGAGCATGCATGAAGCATAACTAGCTAGCTAGCTGGCTTCATGCATTCACAATGATGATAATAAACTTACAATCCGTAACTAGAGTTTATGCATAAGGAAGTAATTTGACCGGGATGAGTGTTGTTCGTCCAAGGTGTTAAGCAAACTAATTGAGCTTGAAAACCTGGTGGTTTCCTTTGTTGGCCAGGTCGAACCCTTAACATACCGTCGCACTAATTTACGAAGAAAAAATAAGGTGAAGGAAGCGAAATACCAAAAATAAAAGATTATAAATAATTCATCACGATAAAATATCTCGTGGGTCGGAAAATAAACCAACTCAAGAAATTATTCACTTACTTACCTTTTTTTCATTTTCCATCGAGTCAGGTTGTTTCGGTAATGAACGAGGAATGAACTCACACTCGGGACTGACATCTGCTTCGTCAGTGTTTTCATAAGTTATTGGAATTTCTAAGACTAGCGTTTCTGATAGACATTCTTGTTTCCTAAATTTAAACAATATCACATGGCCACTGTATCCAGCCACACACAACCTTCTGTGGAGTTTAATATAAAGAAAAGAAGAAAAAAAAATCGATTGTCATTTTATATTCATGACTCTAAGCAACTGAGTTGTTATAGCTTGATTCGTCTTGCCAATATCTTACTTTTCTCAACATTTTATCAAATTTTTCATTTTCAATATTCATAGAATGTGATTGAGAATTTTTACGAGAATTTTATTGCGACAACCACAAAGCTTCCTAAAGCGATGACGAAAGAACTCACCTTGATTCAGCACATAACGATATAATTTGTATAGCTAAAGGATCTTCGTCCGATGAACTGTCAAGTGAACGAGTTTTCGGCTTCTCAAAGATTTTTGCTGTTTTGAGCTTGTATAAGACTAACAAAGATCCCGATCCAGCGTCCCAAAACTTCACCGAACCATCTTGATGGCCGGTAATAATGATTTCAGAGTAACTACGTGATGCTGGCGCCCATGAACCACCATTCACCGGCCATTGCTTTTCTGATGTTCCTGGCTTACGGTTTTGTGTGTGACGTCCCACAGAATAGAAAGCGGGCACAAGGTCCGAAGGACAATCAGCTAAATAAGTGCAACAAGTAACAGGAGAGTCATGAAGGTCCATCGAATATGGCGAATCAAAGCATGGAAAACCATTTGAGGTCAAATCGATGATACCCAAGCCGTTTTGTAATAAAACTGCAATCGCATATGGTTCTTGCATGTCGCTTGCCCATGGACTTTCACACATTGCAACGAAATCAACCACCGGGTGTTCCATATGAAGCACTGTCGTTCCTTTTCCTTGTAACACGGTGATGCACGGTGATTTACCACCTTTCTCCATCGACAATCCCCCTGAGAACATTGTAAATGTCTCTCTAAACAAGATGAAAGAAATAAATATAAATGAGATCGATAAGATTACTTTACAATTTATAACGGCGACGATGACATGCTTTCAATAATAAATAAAGAAGAAAAAAGAAAAAAGGAAAAAGTACAAACCCATTGCGATTTGTTTTCAAATCCACTTTATGGATTGGCTTGCATGTTTCCAACTTTCCATCTTTTGTTGGCTTCGCATGATGATAAATAAGTAGCTGAGGTTTAGCTGTTGCTCTTAAAGGCCACGTACATAATGAACCATCAATGTGAGACGACACAAAGTGTTTGCCTTCATGGTGCCAAGATATTGAACGAAGTGGCTCATGCGATTGCCATCGAAATTCAGCACATTTTCCTTTCATATCCCATAAGGTTATGAGTCCTAATTCGAATCCTATCAACACCTTTTTTATTACGAAAATGATATCATAATAAAAGGAATTATGAAGAGATGGAAGAAACACGATGGCAATAAATTATTAATATAATATTGTATTACGATTCCAGATTCTCAATTTTTTCGCTTACTTTATTTGAGTCAAGTGGATTATCTGATAAATGAACCACCGAACCGGGATGCGTCTTCATTGTGCTAGAATGAAAAATGAAGGAAAAGTTATAAGTCGAGAATTTAAATCAGAAAGCGAATAATATGATTATTTATGTTTGAATTAATGTCTATTTGAAGAATTTTAATGATTTCTTGGATTCTAAGTAAGATCAAGTTCATTAATGAAAATTTATCTGTTGAGTATTTTTGAAAGATTTTTCAAAAAATGAAAGATAAAACTCAAAGCTTCAGATTACAGAATTTAAAGTCACTCAAAAGCATTTTTTTATGTTCCTTTATTATCTTTTTTTATCAGTGCTTAGCATACTCAAATATCACTCATTAAATTCATCTTCAAAAAGAATCGCTTACGATGCTCACGGGGATGGAAATTTATGTCCATGACAGCCGTTGCCCATGTCTCTGTATAAAAGTTCTTTGTGAATTTTCATTTCATAATTTTTGTCTTGCTCTTTATTTTATTTTTCACCATTTTTCCCCTCTCTCTCTCTTTTACCAGTTTTCCCAAAAGGAAAAGAAAATTTGTGCAGGTATGTAAAAGATTTTATCGCTCATACAAACATTTATTTATGTTTAAAACACCCTTGCTTGTTACAGCAGAAATTCTGCCTGCTTCTGATATGTTTTTTGATGAGGAGAAATTTTCTTTCTATGTTTTTAGTAATGGTAAGGGTTTCGGGATTTCGTTTGTATTCTTAACTTTACTTTTGATGTCAGATATCATTTAGTGATATGTTTTGTAGCTGGAAGGATCTTAAAAGCAGAATTCATTGTACCGGTGGAATATCTTAACAGTTAAGAGAGTTGAACGTTTTTATCAAGATACTTCACTTCGTGTTATCGCCATTTGGTGGCAACCACAATAAACACCTCGAACCTTTGATCAACAAAACGTTTCTATCCCCCGCACTCCCTTAAAACGTTGACATGACTTTGCATAATTATATTTTATCTCTACAGTGTGCGGGTGAAAGATAATTAATTTTTCATGTTGCTGTTTTTAAATAATACGATTCCCATGTCAAAGCTTAAATGTTTGCAATTAATCAAGAGAAAAATAAAAACTTTTCATATTTCAATATGTTTCAGTCGTTGGTTGTGAATCGAGGCGTTGTGAATGAATTTCTAAAGCAAATAAAAAATGTTGTCGAAGAAAATAAGAAAAATTTTAAAGTTGACGGTCATAAATTTTCAGTATCAAACCAAAGAATTCTTTCATAACTCGACACTTCACGGTGTCCGTTATATTGTTGAAAGTGGTCGTTCATTTTACGAAAAGTTGGTGTGGTTTTGTTTCGTGACAATTGGAGCCGTGGCAGCTTTTGTCACCATCGGAAGTTTATGGGAAAAGTTTCAAACAAGTCCAACTATAACTGGTATTTAATATTTGACAACGACTTTCGTGATTACTTTCTCTTATCTTATAAAAACTTTTCTTCTCTTCCTAATTTATAAAATTTCTTCGTATGATTAAAAGGTCCCGACACTGAATTTCATTACGAAGTTTTGGATTATCCTACTGTCGTTGTTTGTCCTGAGTCTCCAATCAACCCTTTCTTAACAGAAAATAATTTTTACAATCAGAATTTACAGCAATACGAAGAATTCATTCCGATATTTGAGATGCTTCCAGCACTTTCTTTTGACAATATCAATGAATTTCATAAAATTTATGAAAACATCACAAGCAAAGTAGAAGATGAAAAGATGAAAAAGTTTTCATCATGTAAGAAATAATTTTATTCAACTTCTTGTGCATTGAAATTTAATGCAAATACTTCACTCGATGATATCACTTTGACATTTGTTTGTTATGTAAGAACTGTTGAAGTAACTCCAGAAATGATTTTCATTCAAATAGATTCATCAAATATGTAAATTGAATATCGCTTTAAGGAAGCTTATCTTTACATAATAATTCGGAGAAGAGTAGAAATAAAGCTACAATGTTGATACAATTCTTACAAAGCATACATTCGAATCGACTTATGTACATTTGCTTTTCCACTGCATTTTCACAGAAAATGAAAATAATTCAATTTCCATCATAAATTATTTGAAGATTCTTCACTTCCGATAAATTTACGAAATAAATTTTCCTTTTTACTTGTTTTCTTTTTTCGAAAGTCGTTAAAACAATTGGCCTGCGGCAGTTAATCTTCAATATCGCTATGAAGTGTGAACAGTTGTTTGTTGATGAAGATGATATGGTTTGTGAATATTTAGGAATGGAATATCGTTGTTGTGATATCTTTAAGCCTGTGTATACAGAACGTGGCTTTTGTTATGCCTTCAATTCAAAATACATTTCGGAAGTTGACAAAGAGTAAGTTTTAACTTAAATGCCATCGATTTCTCTTAACGCTTATCTTTTTACGTCGTGAAATATTCACACAAAGAGTGAAAAATGAAGACATAAAGACGTTTACTAAAGCAGCCTTTGACAGAACTTTGAGATTTATACCAAAACATGAATCAAAAGTTTACATCTTTTCACCCAAGGAAGTGCTAAGCTTTGAAACGTCTGAACAATTGACGTGGTACAAAAATTATTCCATAGCAATGACCACAGAGATAAAAGAAACTTATACAGAACAAGACGTGAAACTTCTTTCTGTCAATCAAAGGAAATGTACATTTGACGACGAAATCGCTTTGCTCTACCATCAAAACGACATTTTCTCACCTTCAGTATGTACAAAGAAATGTCGAATGTTAAAAGCAAATAAACTTTGCAAATGCATTCCACCTTTTTACAAACCTTCTGACAACATTTATCAGCCATGTAAACTAGAAAAAGACATTGAATGCTTACAAAGGAATTCAAATAACATCAGTAACATTTACGATTGTCGTGATTGTCTTTTAAATTGCAATAATGTCATTTTTGAGAGTATCAAGATAGGGTGAGAAGCAATTTTATGTTAAGAATTATTTTTTTACATTCCATTTATGCATTAACAGTTGGTCGTTTAACACAGCAGACAAAATTAAAAATCGTCAAGGTTATGTACAAGTCGAAGTACTTTCATGGCCAGTTGTACGTTACAAACACGAGGTGCTGTTTGGATTGGTTGATCTTCTCGTGTCGTTTGGTGGAATTGCTGGATTATTTCTAGGATTTTCTCTCTTATCATTGGTGGAGATTGTTTATTATTTTACTTTAAGGGTGATATGCATGTTCATAATAAATAAGGTAAGAAAGGAAGAAAGTCGAAGCCATATGAAGGAATTTTAGTTTCATCAATATTTGACCCTTTCTTGTCTTTTAAGGAAAAGCTTCATGAATTACATAAGGAAAAAGTTTCTCGCCCAAAACCCAAAATTGACTTTAGCCTTAAGGTTCGTCGAAGGAAGATTTCATCCAACATTCAAAAATTGAAACCTGTTGATTACTTAAATGTGCCTGACGTCGTAAAAACCAAAAGTTCTGATAGTCTTGTGAAGACTATGAAGAGAAAAATCAATAGATTTGATGTTCCCAATAGATTTCAAATGGATACAAAGCGTGGTGGCGGCATTAAGGTGTGAGAAACTTTTGCTAGCATGTGCGAAGCTCTAAAAAACTTTCCTTTCATTCACTTGTTAAAACAATTTTTTCTTGTTTTCTTCTTTTTTTTCGGTAAATCGTCTGCTCTTATGGTTTTCCCTCAACGACGCAACCTTTTTTTCCCTTCATTCACGAAATGTCATCAACGAAATTTAAGCTCATGGATAAACACTTGAAGTTTCGATCACATTTAACAACACGAAATGATGAAATTTTTTACGGTTATTTGCCGTGAGAAATTTTCAGCCGCTAATTTGATTCCATGGGTGACGTGCATGTGAAACATTTCGTATAAAACAACACGAACGAAATGTCATGTAAACATTTTAACAGAATTTTTGCAGAATCCCACAATTTCCTTTTAATCGCTTTTAATTTGCTTGATGTTGCTTGTTTTGATTTGTCATCAAAAAGATGAAAAAAGGAAATAAATAAAAACACTGTAAGCGATTTTCTTGCTCGTTTTCCTCCACCTCAATCAAATGACACAAAATCAATAATAATGACTGAATGACTTTTATTAAATATTGATCAATAAAACTTTTATCTCTCATCCCTTACACAACATGAAACTGAGTTGAAGGCTTCTTGAAAACAATCCTTAGGCTGAATGGTAAAAGAGAACGAGAGACGGAGACAGAGGCGAGAAAAAACATGATAACGTTGACTGATATTGAAATGTCAGCTCCCTTCTGCCGCTAAGAAATAATATAAAGATTCTCAAACGAACGAACGTTGAGAAGTTGAAAAATTGTCAATATTGGATTGAAGGATTCAAACAACAACAACGTGCGACAGCAGTGACGTGAATGTTGTGCGTGCGTGCAGTCAATATCGGAATAAATTACAAACACAAAAAAATTTCATACAAATTTTTGTCTAGGAGTAAGATAAACAAAAAAAGAAAAAGAGAGAAATGGATGGAAAAGCGCTTGTGTGGAAAGAAAAAATAAAAATAATTTTTCCCATAACTTTTCGATTAGTTATTTTACGACTAACTCAAGTCATCATCAGAGGAATGACAATGTAAAGTAATCACATATTTATTATTGTAACAAATCTGAGATATTGAATAACAAAAACTTTGCATAATTAATCACTATAATTGAAATTTTTTCCGTTGTCACAACAGGACATTAATTTTGTTAGTCAACTTAAAGCAGTCATTGGTCGCAGGTGGAAAAACAAAAAGCTTCTTAAATCACTGAAATTAGAAGTCCATTGTGAGTTTTAAAAGGAAAAATGAGTAAGAAAAGTGAATCTAAAGTATCTGAGATATATGGATTATTAAAGACGAGCCTAAAATATCAAACGAAGGAATTTTTCAACAATTCAACTCTGCATGGAGTGCGCTACATTGCTGAAAAGGGTCGCTCGCTGGGAGAAAAGTTTATGTGGTTTTCTTTTGTATCTATCGGTGCTGTGGCAGCTTTTGTAATTATTGGAAGTTTATGGGAGAAATTTCAAACGAATCCAACCATAACAGGTAGAATAAGTACAAGAAAAGATGAATAATTCATTGCATGTTGTTTAGATACTTTATAAGTAGGAGAAAAAAACATGGAAATATTTTCATGAGAGATTACAAGTCAATATTTTAACATATTTTCCTTTCTTATTTTGTGGGAAATTTTCTGGTTAAGGTTTGGATACCGATTTTCACAATCAACAAGTTATTTTTCCAACAGTTACAATATGTCCAATGGCCTCTCATGATTCGGAAGCTGTTAATGAAACTGCTTCAGAAATTATCGATGCTGACGATGAAACTTTCGGAGAGTTTATTCCAGTGCTTGAAGCATTACCACGATTGACGTTTGATACTTTTGCGAAAACATATGAAGCTGTATTTAACATGTCAGATGAAGTCGACTTAACTAAGATAAGCTTAAGGCAATTAGCATTCAAGGTGCCTGTTAAATGCGAAGATCTTCTCGAGATTTGTAAATACAAGGACGAAGAGATTTCATGTTGCGAATATTTCTTGCCGATCTATTCCGAGCATGGATTTTGTTACTCGTTTAATACACGCTATTATGGTACATCAATGGAAGAGTAAGAAAAAAAAGTTATAGAAAGTTAATGATCTCTCATAAATCACATGAATATTTATTACACTTTTTCTCAAGGGCTAAGAACGAGAAAATTAACGATTTATTCGAGACTGACAAGAAGTGGTCGTTAACATTCGTACCATCAAGGGCTGTAAAAGTTTTTGTTCATTCTGTCGATGAAGTAACTGGCTACGATTTTCGTCCATTATTCACTTGGACAGATGGACATGCAATCGACCTTCTCATTACTCTGAAGCAAACATACACAACAGATGATGCTAGACAACTATCAGTCGAACAAAGGAAATGCATCTTTCCAGATGAAATGAAGTTGAAATATTATCGTGAAGGAATTTATTCATTCTCAACATGCATGAGAGATTGTCGCTTGAAGAAAACTAACAAGCTTTGTAAATGTATTCCGCCATTTTATATGCCATCAAGTGAAAGTTATCGTCAATGTGGACTTGAAGATTTCATCTGTCTCATGAAATATCGGGGAAATATAACTGACATCAGAAGCTGTCGTCATTGCGCATTGAGCTGTCTTAATACCGTTTACGATATTGAAAAATTTTCAAGAACGTAAGAAGCTTAATGTTGCGATGTCCTTTGGGACATCGAAGGGATTTACATCATCAAACTTTATTTCATTTTACAGAGTTGTTCCTGAAACAAACAAACGCGAGGATTTTCGTGTCAATGTTGAATTTTTGACATGGCCCATCATCCGTTATAAGCGTGAGGTGCTTTTTGGATGGGTTGATCTTCTTGTGTCGTTTGGTGGAATTGCTGGGCTTTTCTTAGGCTTTTCATTGCTGTCGGGAGTTGAAATTGCTTATTATTTTACAATGCGAGCTGGCTGTATGATATATCGGAACAGAGTGAGACATTTAATTGTGCAATCAGCTTACAAAACATTCATTCCATTTATTTTCTTCTTTAAGGATGAACTTTATGCAGCACAAGAAGAAGAAAAATCACGTTCAAAAGCACAGTACGATCTCGGTCTGGCGCCGAAGCTGAGAGATTCGAATCATCGGAGAAGTCTTTCAATGTCTGATGTTCATACTGTGCGACCTGTTGAATCACCGGGGAGTACAAAGGCAATTCAAGTGAAAGCGTTCGATAGTCCCAAAGTGCCGATTAAGAATATCACCGTCGGTAAAATTAGCGTAATTACTAAAGCAGATGAATTGATCATTTCAAATCAATTGCAAAGATTTGATGTGAGAAACAACGGACGAAAAAAGGTTCGTTTCATCAAAAATGACTCTTGAAAATGTGATAAAAAGTAATAAATCAAAATCTCTTGACATATTTTAGACGTTCATCATTCCAGTACGACAAGATTTATTTCGTCCCATTCAAGTGTCACCATACTCACAACGCATCAAACCGCTGGACAAGAAATTTCACTCTCGTTCACAATCAGAAGGACCTGAAATTATGTACGAAGGATATTTGCCATAAACTCAATGGCAATTCGAAAGGTCAATTCGACATTTATTTATCTTCTTTTCGGAATAATTTTTAACGTTCAAAATTTATTCAAAGTGCCCTGCCCAAAAAGAAAAGGGTAGATGAACACATTCTAGGAGCGTTGACCGTTCACATAAAACTTTTTCACCATATTGGGATTCATTAATTTTGTTAACATATTTTTCCCATTATCTGCATGTGTGATTTGACTCATTAATGATGGAATAAAAGTTTGTTGTTTTCAAAGCACAAAACTCTTTCAAAAGAATGTTTAATGTTTTTTGCTGTTCATCCAGAAAAGCTTACGCAACCCTATCCAAATGAAGCGAATAAAAATAAAAATTCTGTAAACAAATATCAAGCCATTATTTGTGAAAAAATTTAATATCTTTTCAACAGAAATTTGAATTACAATTAATTAAAAATGTTATTGAAACGAACGAAGCAAGTTTTATGCGCAATTTTTGGCTTACTTTCGTTGTCTTTGACGTTATATACTGTTGTGAAATTCGTCTTATTTACATCGAAGCCGACTCAACAAAAATACCGAAGTGGGAAATCTCAAGAATTAAAAGTCGCTGTTCGTCTTTTGCTTAAAAACACAATATGGCTTGTGGTGTTTATTCTTCAGCATAGCTTTCAAAAGCATGAAAATGTCAAGAAGTTATGGAAGAAAATTGGTCTTGAGAGTATCGAGCGTGCGGCTTACAATTTTTTCTCATCGTTCATTTTGTTGGTAAGATTTCATCAGCACTTTGTTTATAATTTTTTTGTTCAGCATTTTGTTTGCATTCTCAACCTCCTGTGAGAGCATTTTTTGGTAATTAATTAAATTAAGCTTAATGCGAAAATTTCATTTTCAGCAATTGGTGCAAAACTGGACGTTTGTTGAGAAGTGGACATTATGGAATATTTCAGCTCCAGTTCATTCACCGATTTGGTGGATTCTCGTAATCACCCACTCAATTTTTTGGATGATTATTGGATGTGGAAGTCTGCTTATGGACTTGCCTGAAATCGTTGGTATCAAGCAGATTTATTACGACATCCAAGGTTTAAATGAACCATTAACATACAAAGCTCGAAGCTTGAATCATTTGCTATCAAACATTCGCCATCCATCATTCATTGGATTCTCTTTGATATTCTGGTTAACAAATTTAATGAGGTAAATAAATTATTTGTTTATTACAAATTTAGGTCAATAAATTTAATTGAAATTTAATATGTTCTAAAATGAAATGTTTTCGCTAAACGTTAATTAGATACCTAGTTCTTAATTAAAATGTAAAATTTATGATGTTGCAAAATTTCTTAGAAAATTTATTTGAAATGATTTCGTTTATTTTTAGCTTGGATCGCTTCATATTGTCATTAATGTTCACATGCTACATGTTTGTTGCCTGGAGCCCCGATCGTACCGATTATGGTTATCAGAGACAGCAATTTCAACTGAAGAAACTTGAACTGAGCTACGATTTGAAGCAGAAATAAGGAAACTTCAAGACACACTTAACATTACTAACTTTTTCTGATGATTCTCGATTATCTTAATGAATTGACAATCTTTTTGTTTCTCTTCTCAAGTAGTAAAAGATAATAAAATAATCAAAAAAATTCTCTAATCTTTTCAATAAATCCTTCAAATGCTCGTCCTAAGTAAGAGAAACTTGACATGCTCTACCAACATAAAACATATTGTTGAAAATATTTTTCTCAAAATTTCATTCTTTACAAGATTTTTCCGGAACAGAAAATTTTCCATCGTGATACGAAAACTGCTTTCAAATAACAATAGAAAGTTATGAAAGAAAGTATCATTACAAAAGCTAGATCCGCATGAAAATTTCATCCTGACAACGATTTCAGAAATCTACAAAATATTATCAGTTAATGTTCTCTTCAATTTATGAAATCTTACAAGTCATGTCCAGCATCGTTAGTTTCACTAGTTTGATTTCGAAAGAAAATAAATTTCAAGAGGGATTAAGGAAAAGTTCGATTGAGCTGAAATGCTTGTCAGAGCAAGTTGAAACTATTTATTGGAGCATCGTTAGTAATCAGCATTTATCTATTTTGAAATGGGTCGATGTAAGCCCGAGAGCATCGTTTTACTAATTCAAAGAAATAATCACAAAAAAAAAGAGAAAACTTCAATACTCACAGTTCAACAGCTTTATTCCAATGGATGATGTAGCCACTTAAAGTAAACGAGTCGGTGTGAACAATGTGAATGTTGCCCTTTTCAGTACCCACGTAGAGCCATTTGCTGCCGACCGGAAGATGAATGTATGTGATGCTGAAGATGATGGGCGGTTAATGAAAAGAAAAAAGGAAAAGTAATTTACATTCTCCGGGTTGTAAGAGGGCCGACGTTATTATTAAAAGCGTTATACTTTGTGCGTTTCCGCTCACCTTTCTCTTTGAAATTTCAAACAATGAACGACGGCTGGAATTTTCTTTTGAAAGTTCCAAAAGTGTAAAGTATCGTCTGCTGTTACCGTCACCATCGCTCCCTCATTTACGAGGAATTCGATTTGAATGACAGCACATGCTGATTCACCTTCGTGACGGACATGAGCATCGACGCCCGGTTGACCCAATCTGTGATAAACGAGAAAATGAAAATGAAAATTCATTTTTCATAGCGTGCGTTTGAAAATCTTCAAACGCTCGCGCCATAAATGAGAAGAAAATTAATGATGGAAAATAATCGCTGCTTACAAAATGGTTTGCTGATAAAAACCAAAGAAAGCTCGCTTCATCATTTTTTACTCAGATAATTTCGCTTACGTCTGAGTTTATCAGAAAATTATTTAAGAATGAGGCGAAGTTGCGGTGCGTATCAGCGAAAAAGAAATTTAAACAGAAATCATTGTCGTCTCCATTTTGTCGATGTTAATAATTTGCCGCTTATGAAGATAAATATTAGCAGTCATCTGATTGTGATCAGATTTTTTGTCTTTCTCATTCACTTTTCCTCTTTACGCGACTTGAAACTTTTTGTTTTAAGAAAATGGAAGCAAAAAGGATTTTATAAAAGTACTAAAATGTTCATTTTATTCAACGTACGTGTCAGGAAAATAAATCTCTCGGCTATGTCTGTTACATTGTTGAACAAAGCAAAAGCCGCCCTCCCGACACTTACATAAAAATCGGAGGAATAAGAAGAAGTCGAGTAGGAAAAGCGGTGAATGTAGGAAAAGTGGAAAAATAATTTCATTTACACAGCACACTCGTGAGATTTTATATAAGACAGAGATCTAACGATGTAGAAAAGCGAAGTCGAAAGAGTAGAAAAAAAAATTAAGAAAAGATTATAAAATGTGTTCCTTCCGACTCTTCTTTCATATGATGGAAAGGTTTGACTGTCTGCTGTTATCAATCATTGTATGGCAGAAAAAGAAATCATGATAACGAGTTAAAATGAAATTTGTTTGAGCTCTTCTCGTCTTTTTATTGCAAATGACAAATGAAAATGGGTTGAGAACAAATGATTGCATTTTAATTTCATCCAACCCTTCACATTCACATTACGTTTAATGGAATGCAATTTAAACAATTGGAAGCTTATTTCGTCTCATGATTCATGAACGATGCTTTAAAATTAAGTGAAAAAAAAGCACCGAAGATTTTAATCATTGAAATAAAAGGAAGGAAATCGATCTCGGAAATTATTTCTCATGAAAAACTAATAAAGTCACGTAAACAAACTTACATTCGAAGCGAACCGTATTTATCTCCAATAGCCAGAAGTTTCTGTACCGGATCAAAGGCGAGTGCTGTTGGATTGTGTGGAAAGCCATGGCGGAATGTCTGAAAAACAAAAAGAGTAAAAATCAACATTAACTTTCTACAACATGGTGAAATTATTTTCCCAGCTTCAAGAAATGAAAAATGCTATCATCAATCACAACGACCATTAGAAATATATAACAAAAAATATAAAATGTATAGCGACAATGGCGACATCAGGGTATAAAGCAAAATATGCTTTTTCTTTCATTTATTACTCTCGTTTCAACATTCTAAACATATCTCATAGATTTCAGCATTCGGAAAAATATTTGCAGGCACATCATAGTCTGGCGAGCGTTTTATAATTATCGATTATCTGCCTTTCCACAAGTCAACGAAATCATGACTCTCCGAAATCGGTTGGTGAACAGAAAAGCTCCGAAACTCATTCTACACCATTAAAAACAACTTTTACGCGAAAACAATTTTTTTGAAAAGCTTCATCCGGCACTTTCGACTTTGAATTTTACGCTTTTGTTGTAATTTTTCAAAGCTCAAAAATACTCACAAACATTGGTTAGATTTTATTCGGTTACGTACTAAAATTTTCATTATTCATTCTTTCCCCTCAACAGAAAATTTGTTTGAAGTTTTTCTTCTTCTCATTCTTTTGTTAATTACTCTACAAAAATTGCTTTTGAGCATTTTCTTTCTTTGAATAAATATCGTGGAGGTTAAGATCGTGAATTTGATGGATGATAAAGAGAAGTGAAATACAAAGAAAATTCTTTGCACAACCCAAGAACCCACTAAAGTCAAATATTTAACTATACACAAAATATAACATTTTTATAGCAATTTAACGCTGATTCAAAATAATTTCTTATCTGATTATCTTTTTTAATTAGAATTAAATGGATGTGCAAACAAAAAGGGTTTCAATTTTCTCTATGGCTCGTTCTTTCCAACTCGCCACCCTTCACATTTGCAGAGACTGAGATATTTAATGAATTATTACGTATCATTTGTAGCGGGGCTGGTGGGAGGCAACAAATGCGCTTAAACGATGTCAATTTGGCATTGGTTGAAGCTGTTGAGTGTTTCGAAACGTTTAACAGCAAACACGACAATCCAAACATTTACTTAATAACAAATTAGTTACTAACAAACTGATGAACAGCAAGCAACGAAAATAGCCGCGTGTGTCTTATGATAGGTTTTATTTCTTTTAGCTCTACCAAATAAGACACACACTAGCCACCTTCAGTGCTTGACATTGACAACTCATTTTTATTATCAAGAAATGAAATAAAATGGAATGAACTAAAAAATGAATGGAAAACTGCCTACGTATCACAACAACGTATAATCACTTAAATTAGTATTTCTAAAAACGTAAAGCTTGGTATTTTCTAAATATTTCTCCTTTCTTTCGTTTTCCATCCAATATTGTGGTGTCGACAGGTGCAGATTTCATATTTCTTCACACGACGTTGTAATATTTATTATGGTAAGATTAACATTTGTATGAGATTCTTATTAAGGAACAGGAAAAGATTTAATTTTCTATGGCGTAAGCAATATTTTATTTACCAAATAGTTATGTAGATATTTTTGTACGTAAACATAAAGAAGAACACGAGCTTATGTATCAGCAACATAAAAGAGTTTCTATTATAAGAAAACTCTATAAAATTTAGGAGATAAATGAAAAGCTTCATGTCACGAACATTGCAGCTTCCTGTTTATATGATATCACTCTTGCATGGATTAACACGTCCTTAAGTGGGAGAATCCATAACATAAAATAATCAAATATTTAATTCACGTTTTCTTCCATTACGATTATCACCACTTTCCGAATTAAGTTCACCAGCTCGTTCTCTTTGTTCTTTTCCAGGTCACAGACTACAATTTCATTTCGACACTTTTGTTGACCACATTAAAAGTCGAATGCTGGTGATATTCAAATATCAATCAAAGTTTCATGTTTGTCGTCAAGGTTAAAACCATTAAGAGATCTTTTTTCTTTCTCTTCTTTAAATCTTCCTTCTTTTTTTTCAATTATTTCTCTGCGACGGTCGCCTTGAACTAACAGAGAATATCAACAGAAATAGCAAGTGGATGAAACAAGCAACGAAGGGAGGTAGAGGAGTAGGACGAGGAAAACTAAATAAACACTTTCTCGTTTTCCCCATCAAACTATTCATTATGTTCCACAGAGTTATAAGAGGGAAAAGAAGGGAAAAAAGCTTTTTCATTTAATCTTTACGAGACCCCATGCACAAAAGGTTAAAAATAAATTGAAGCCTGGATATGAGTATATAAAAATCAACATACGACGTAACGTACTCGAACGAAGAGAGGCATTCGTTGTTGCTTTGTACTCAACTACACACGTCAATGATTTTAATAAACTTTTTATTTTTACTACTGAGTGAATTTAAAACTTCAATGCAGTTTTATATTTATTGTTACCATTCGGCATTGAAAAAAGAAACAACAAAAAAGAAGTTTGAATAATGATTATAATCGTATCAGAATAGACTTCGGTTACATGAACTTTTGACCCTTCGTTAATGGAGAAAAGCTTTTTATAATTTCAAACATAAATTCTTTTCCTTCCTTTTCTCCTTTCCATGGCTCATCCTCAGAGTTAAAAAGTCACATAAGCGAGATTAAGCCTATTTATGAGCAAACGTAGATAGATCCTGGTAACGTGTGTAGGCGTACAGTGAGTTTCAATCTATAAATGAATATTCTATGCTTCCTTTCTCTTTTTTTTCACTTATGGAAATTGGTTGAATCTTTAAAATTGCTTTTATGTTTCTAGGAGGTTTCATTTTTATAGCGATAATTTTTCTCTCCCCTAAAATTCACTGAAGTAGATGTAAGAACAAGCATGTGAATATTTCTTCAAGAAACCCCCCGACAAAACACTTTTCGATATTCTTTTACGAAGCTTTCTTCGCTTCGCAATGGTTGTTTATGTGCGGTTGTGTTTGCTATTCAAGGTTGATTTATAAATTTAATATTCGTCATTTTTCAACTTCCTTGCTGATCTACTTGTTGGATATTTTTTTTTTATTTTTTACCTATAAATGTTTCACTTCGTAAATTTTCAACGCGTTTCAAATTTCCCTCGAGAGACAAGCAGTAAAAGTGCGCACAAGAGAATGAACAGATAACAATTCTAACAACGCCTCATAAAGTCGTTTTGCATGAATAATGAATCTCAATGAAACATTTTCGTCCTAATTACCAATCAATCATTGCAAGTTTTTCTTTACGATATAATTTCCAATTCTTTTCAACATTCATACGATTATTTATTTTAACAGTGAGCATGTGTTGATGTAGAGTAAAAGGAAAAGACTCGTGTTGCCACCCTCGAAGCCACTTCTTCATGTTTTTGGCACACAATTAATCTTAATTAAAATTACAGGAAATGCTTCTAATTGGATTTGAGCTCAAAGGAACACATGACTTGACATTGCTTTCGCTTTTTCCGTCGTTTTGTTTTATTTTTACTTTTACTTCTTTTTTTTTTTGTTGAGCGGGGAAAAGCAGACGGGAAAACAGAAATGATCAAATTATCGATTTCAATTTAAAGCAGCCAAACCCAACTCATGCTTCAATGATGATGGGATTGTAGAATGAGATTGTTACAGAAAGCTAAAAAAGGAGCTTAGCTTTGGTTGTTAAAATTTAATGCTAAAGACGAATGTAAAGCGAATATTGATTTAAAATTTTCTCTAACCAATCTTAAGCGTGTTATAATTTATGAGCCCCATAAATATATTTAATGCCAACCAGATTTAGATTTTTGATTTCTTACATTCACACCTTAACGACGACGAACGAAACTGAGTAATTCATAAAAGCAAGCTGCCAAGTCAAGGCTCTGTTTAGACAGACGATGATTGTAAATTGGAAAGGGAAGAAGGAGGTGAAAGAAATAAAAACTGAACGGGGAAAATATTCAAAGTTATAACAACGTAAAAAATTAATGTTTCGCCTTGCATAAATATTTCAGCCAGTCTGCAAAAAAGAAAATGTAATCAGTTGTTGTTGTCGTTAGTCAAACTGTTGACTGTTTGATATTGAAAAAAAGGAAAATCGAATAAATAATAAAAGATCATAGATTTCACATTTTCCTTTTCTTTGCCTCTCTGTTTATAATTTTTTTTGTCTTCTATTTCAACAATTCAACGTTGAGCATTTTTTTATGGTCGAAAATCGCGAATGTCGTTGAAGTGATAAAAATAAAAAAGAATAAAGGAAACTTTGGAGAGGACAGCAATCCATAAAATTCCTTGGTGTTTACTTTTTTTCCTCTCTTACGATGATGATAATGGAGAAGAAAAATGACGAGAAAAAAGCACGCAGTAAGCCCATAGCAAACATCATAACAAATTTCGAGAATTTTAATATCAAATTCCTGCCGTTATGTTGCCGAGGGTTTCATATTTTATTAACTTTCGTTTTAATGGAGATATTGACCCAAATTGACGTTTCACTAAAGCTTTGTAAAGCTTAAGCGTTGCTTTTTTTCTCGGCTTGCGTCATTTTAACTTTCAAGTACTAAAAAGTGTATCAAATTAAACACGATTTGAATTGTGTATGTTTACTCACGGTAACATTAAACGAATTTCTGGTTTATTATATTCGTGCTTTTACTCTTTTTCTTGTGAAAAATAAGTATCGAGGGAGGATCCTGAGAAAAGAAAGTAAAAAAAGGTGAAGCGTGGTACGCAAATAAATCAACGATTTTATTCCTCTTAATATTATACACAGAGACGAATCCTCAACATAAGCAGCGTCAAATGGCTCGTTAACGAGTTGTTTAAAGAAAAAAAAACGCAGGAAATTAATTTTATCAATCAAGTCAATCTGATGTGAACCTTATTTTCACTCTGTACGATTTTACCGACCCTTCTGCTAAATAAGATCTCATTTCCTAATTTTTCACTCTTTTTCTGTCTGTTGTTGCCATTATGTTTCGTTTTCCTTATTTTCGCCATTGCTTTTGCTTATTCGCCGAAAGGATATTATTTACATAGCTTCGTGTAGCAGAATTCCAAAAAAAGCAAGAAACGTTTTATGATATTTTCGGTGTGTTTTTATTTTTATTTACTTCTCTTCTTATTTCCTTCTCCGTATCGCCTTCTGGTGGAAACACGCAACAAAAAATCGCAACGGATTTATTCTTCGCTTCATGCATGCTTATTTCCGACCACCGTAACCATCAATGCCGCCAAGAGGCTTCTAAATCGTCTCCTCTCATAATATTATTTATCATCATCATCGTCATGGGCTAGGTAGGCGTAAGAAGAAATATATTTACGAGGACTTCTTCAAATTGATACGAATTTATAGCGTTTCACGCGTCAAGTGATTTCTCGCGAATATTTTACTCGTCTTTTCTATTTCATTTCCCTTCAGGGGTTAATATAGCTTATTGTTATTTAGATCACGAATTCGAAGATATCGCGTTAAAAGATAAAAGAAGTTTTTGTGTATTCTTATTTTTTAATAGCTTTTTGTCGTTTCCATTTAAAAAGTTTCACCGTTTTTGAAAACTTTTCAATTAAACTAATTAATTTAAAATGACGATAGAATGAAAGTTTTAAGGCAAAATAAATAAATAAATAGAATGAAGGTTTTAATTGTTTTCCTACCTTTTTGAGCGTAAAGTCGCTGGGCCTTAGCGTTTCCTCGATCTCCCTGTCACCTCGTTGTTGGGTCGTCTGAACGGAAGATCGAAATCCGTCCAAGACGCCTTTGAATGTGAATTTTTTCATATTGGTCCTCGCGACTTTCCAGAGTTCTTTCTCCTTTTTCGGTTCAATGGTGACGAATTTTATTTGTTATCTACAGCACCTTCACAAAAATATTTCTTTTTCTTTTTCTACTTCTATTATATTATATTTATCTTTATTATGTCACTAGGAAATGCCTTCGTTCGAGCTCGAGTGTTTATATTCTCTTTATTTTCTCAACCTCGAGGCTGGTTGTTATTTCGTCGTGGAAATATGTTTAATAAGTGTCAATTTCTCTTCTCTCGCTATTTTTTTTATTGCTATTCATTCAGCTTTGAAGTGTCCTTTTTCGTTTGAGTGATACATTTTGGATCTTACGTTTCGCAACCGTCATTGCCATCCAATATTATCATATTATAAATATTGTATTTTACGGCTAGGAATCTATGTGTTACCGATGAATATTAAATGAATAAGATGGAAGAGAAAAATTGCTTATTTTACTCTTCCCTCGATTCTCGTTTTCAATTCATTGTCATCGCTTTCATTTTTCTCTCCGGTTATTTTTCATTATTCTAGGATGAAAAGAATGACGAATTCTTTGTTGGTTTTTATTTTTCTTCTGCCACTTTTGTGGCTATGTATTTTTTATTTTTATTCATGAATTCATGAGACAGAAATGAGAAAATTCTGCAAATCATTTAAAAGCCTCTTAGGGAGGAAAAGGAAAAATAAAAACAGAATTTAAATGACACAACATTATGCAAAGTTGAATTCTAGGCTCGTGCCAAAATGCCTAAAAGCAAGAAAAAGAAATGAAGACGCACTTGAAGCTTCTTTTTGCTTATTTTCCTTTCGGCGAAAAAAAAAGTAAAGAATCTTGAATCAATAACTTTTTGTTCTACATTGCAAGTCACGGAAGAATCTCGCTTGCCTTGCAATTTTTTATCTTTTCGTTCTCGTTGTTGAACGTGAAATACGTAATGAGGTATACCGAATAACAAATGTTAGAAAAAAATCTTAAAAAAATATTATTTTTCTCTTCTCAGAACGAATCAATTTCACTATTTCACTGTTTGAGTTGACAAGAGCGATTAAACAACGAATGAAAAAAGGAGCTTGGAAAGGCTTTATGTGAAATTTTTAGCACGATTTTCCTTCTTTCGCCCTTCCAACTCAGAGAGCCACGAGCTGCGCATGTGCAACTTTCTGCTGCTGTTATCTACGGAAACTGTTTTTTATAGATTTTTGATTTTTTTTTATTCCTTCCTTTTTTTCAGAAGTAGTAAAGCCTAGAATTTTATATTAAACTCAGTTAATTTTTAATTAATTTTCTTGCACTGTATGAATAACTAAACGATTACGAATGACAATGAACAGTTTTTATTTTCAAAGTAATCTAACTTTTTCCATTTCTTTATATTTAGCAAGCCAGACACACGATATTACATTTTTGCGAGTCAACATTTCAACTGCGAATGAAAATTTTACTGGAAAATTGTGTGATAAAGAAAAACAGTGAGAGAGTAGCAAAAAGAAAATTTGTCATCCTTGTCGCTTTCCCATGTGCAAATAAAGTGTTTGCGGTTTCGCAAATGCGCATAATGTTATAAAGTAGGGATGAAATAGTGAACATAAATACGTAGTACGTACGAAAAAGATAACAGTCAACGTTGTTGAATAAGAAGTCGTAAAAATGTTCACTGATAAATTACAAACAAACTTCATCTTCTCAATTATTGTTATAACACGTTTCTGATCTCATCTACATACTATTGACATGACTCAACGAAGCTTCTCTCTCTCTGAATATAAAATTGTGTTCAGAAGTCTAGCGATGACCATGTTAGATTTGCTCTTGACATTGATAATTCAATTTGGATATTTTTGTGTTGAACAGCAACACTGTTTGTATAGTAAATATTCATAACATTTATTCAACTTTGATTTTTAGCGTAGTTCCTAACATTTAAACATTCCGTCTTTTTTTATTGAAATTTAGGCAGTTTAATTTCCGACTCAGTGGATATTAGGAAATGCTTCACAAAAAAGAAGGAAATTAAATGAAAATGCTATTTTCTGTTACGGGAAAGTAAAATAAAATAGAATAAGTAGAGGAATTTCCGTAAAGAGAACTTTAAGGTGTTGTTGTCTATTGAAAAGAGATGACAATAGTCTCGCTTGCTGATTTTCCAAACTTTCCACGATTAATAAAGTTCCAATTTTATCACTTCACAGGAATGAAAAAATTCTTTTTATGAGCTTAAAAGCTTTCACTCATGTATTTGATTATAATCGAAAAGAAAACAATGACAAAAGACTGATTTTTGCAAGATAACATTACGCAGTTGATGTTTTGGAAAAGTCTGTTCTTTTGATTAAAATTCTTATCACTTTATTTTTTAGAAGAACAGAACGATGAAAAACAATAACAAGAAAAGCAAAAGCATATTTCAATGAATTCCGAGAGTATTTCACGAATAATTCACAAAAACCACATCACTACTTAGTTGATAAAAGGTTTGAGAAGATCTTAGATGGCAACAAGAATGTAGAAAAACTTTAGGAACAGGGAAAATTGAAGAATGTTCACTTTTTAGTTTTCACACAAAAATTTTACTATTTGACGTATTCAGGGGTGACTATGAACTTTGACGAAGCTTTTGAACGTCCCAATGACAACCTGTGCCAGAGTTGCAAACCATTTTTTGTCCGTTATATCGAGACACTAATTCGCTCTAAAGAGACTTAACTGAGTTTACTTTAGACAAGAAAAATAACTTTTTCTGATCTTGTTATTAAATTAAAACGTAATCAACTTCAAATGGCGACTTATGAAAGTGTTGTGCTTGTGAAACAAGAAGTTTTCGTTTATAAGATCCCACCGCGTTCATCAAATCGTGGCTATAGGTGCAAATATTTACAGAATTATTTATTTTCTTGATGAAACTTCTTTTTCTTATCAACAATGATTTGCTGGAAGTTTTTAAACTCATTTCTGTTCTTATCATAACACTTTTAGAGCTGCCGACTGGAATTTAAATGAACCAACATGGAATGGGAGAATGCGAATGGTTTCATCAGGCGCTCAATTAAATATTAAACTGGAAGATAAAATTTCTGGACAACTTTTTGCAAATTGTCCCGTGGAAGCATATCCTGGAGTTGCAATTGAAGCAGTGTCAGATAGCTCACGATATTTTGTGCTACGTATTCAAGACGATAATGGCAGATCAGCTTTTATTGGTGTTGGCTTTGGGGTAAGATTAAAAAAGTTTTAAAAATTATTTCTTTAAACTTTTCATTTTTTTATTTTTAGGATCGTTCAGACTCATTCGATTTCAACGTGGCACTTCAAGATCATTTCAAATATGTGAAGAATGCTGAAGCTCTTGAGAAAGAAAAGGCTGAACCAAAGCCTCAACTCGACCTTGGGTTTAAAGAAGGCGAAACAATTAAAATAAATATGAAAATAACAGTGAGATTGTGACGATTTAACTGCAGACAATAAAACTGAAATTTTTTTGTTTGTTTTTGAAGAAAAAAGATGGAAGTGAATCAACATCGAGAACAGGTAAGAAGACTGGTGGCTTAGGAATCCTCCCGCCACCTCCAAAAAGCGCTGAGAAAAGTCCATCGAGTACAAATGACTTTGGTGATTTTGTGCAAGCTCCACCAACTGCAAATTCAGCACCATCACAACAACAACAACAACAGCAGCAGAACTCAAGTTGGGTTCAATTCTAATTCCAGCAAGTTCTGATTCTCCAGCGTGAATATTCCCAGCTTTACATTTAATTTCTCTCGTTTTACATTTATCTACGTTTTTTTATTACAAATTATGTTTTGTTAAAGCAAATCATCTCATATAAATATATAAGCAAAATATATATCCAATCCAAACATGTAAGTGTTATTAAGTAAAGTAGATGAAATTAAATGATACTGAGGAAGGACGAAAGAAGTAAAATATTTCAAACTTTAAAGGAAAAAAATAGAATTTAAAACTTTTCCTTGCTTTTTTGTCTTAAAAAACGAATCACGAAATGTGTTAAGTTCCATAAAAATTATAAATGGTCGCTTTCTTGAAAAAATAATAATTTCATTAGTCAGCGAATACGATTTTGGAAAATATAATATAAATACATGTTGAAATAATAAATTGTTGATTATGAATTATTAGAGAACCATCATAAACGAAAAAAGTAAAATAAAAAAATCATTATTTAGGCATGAAAAATTGTACTCTTTATTTAACTGAGATATCATGAAAGATTTATTTTTACACATTTTCCTGATGACAGTAAAAAGCATTTCTGACATTTCATGCGATTTCGTAAAACTTTCTATGCACACCAGAGATTCTCAAACTGTTTAAGAAGTTTTGAAAATTTTGTTAGTCATTTATGAAGATTCTTATAGAATGATAAAGATCGATATTAAAATGCACTTTTTTCAGATAAACCGATGTCAAATCTTTCATAAGTTATGAAAAATGGCATAATTTCAAGGCAAATTTTAAATACATTTCTATTCTTAAATCAGAATTGTCGGAAAGAGTTTTATCTATTTCACATTATTGTCGAGGTTTATATAGTTTAGTTCAAGGGTGAACTAAGGACGTGAGATGCAAATCTCCTAATCTCTCTTTAAACTACATTACAACAAAGTCCTACTTCTATGAATTGCAATCTTGACCACATATTTTTTTTCTGGTTAGTCTCATTTAGTTCTTAATCATCCACAACTGTGAAACTGATAATGGAACCACATTTTTCTCTGACAAACAATTTTTGTTTATAATTTTCTTTCATTGCATATTTGTTACTCTGTTCAATAAGTCAAAAAGTAAAAAAAAGAAAGAAAGTTATAAATATGGAACCTTCAATAATAGAAAATCAAAGTGACGTTGTTGAAATTGAATTGAAACGAACTCAAATAATGCAAGACGTGAACGATGGTCCAAACCGGCAGCAGACAATGACAAACTATTATCATTCAAAGAAATCTGCGGCAGAAGGGATGATGGACATATCACTTCTCACAGCAAACGCAAATCAATTAAAATTCATTCTTTTTTATAATCGTGATTCACAAACTTTCTACGGAGCTTTATCTCTCATCTCACTATCTTTAATACTTCAAATTGTAGTTGGACTTTTATTAGTTTTTCGAGTAAGTTTCTCAATCTCTTCAAGCATTCATAAAATTAATTAAGTTTATATGTTTTAGCGACGCTTTAAAACGAGCGGACAGAAACGACAAGTGAGTACATTAAACGAATATTTAGTGCTCTTAATATTTCTCATAACAGTCATCAACGTTCTGGCCGCAGTTCTAACCACAACTGAACATTCTGCTTGAAGAAAATGATAGAACTAATAATATTTAATTAGAAAATTTTAATAAGACTTTATAACAGAAAATTATTTCTATCCTTAATTTGAAGTTGAAAATTAC